CCCCTGTGTTTGCAGTTTTACAGAGAAAAAAATGACAAATATAGATCTTTTCCTAATTTTTTTTCAATATATTGAAATAAGATAATTATGCTAAAATGAGTGTTTATCTCTGGAAGTGTTGTATCTGTGTCTTAGTAATTTAGAAAAGTATACACATTCACCAAACGATCGTGGTGATAGTTCTAAGGCTGCTGCTCATAAAACACTCCTGTTGTGAAGTTACCAGAACTATATTAACCATTGCTGATGCATGATAAGCATATTCCTCATGTAGAAACCCCTGCGAACATGCAGAGTGTTCAGTGTGACACTGACCGCAGGCACAGGAATCTATATACGAACACATCAATCTTTTCATCTATCTGCATATCATTGCACTACAAAATAACATGCACACTTATATGCTGTACAAACGTACATGTATATATGCTTCCTCTCCCCCTCTCTCTCTCTTTTTTTTTTTTTTTTAGCTTTAAATATTTTTATGGTAAAGAGCTATTTTATAACAGTAAGGATATGGGACTGTGGCCTATATCAATTTTCTGTCAGTGGCTGTCAGAAACATTTTTAAAAAGCATCTCTTTCTGTAGTAATCCTCTACCTGTAATGGCCTGATAGAGGCAGTATGAAATAGTCCAAGGACAGCACAGCAGAAATACAGGCCTGTTACCTGAGTTTAATTCCTGATGGCCACTTTTTTAAGGCCACTTTTTTTAAAAGCACTTACAGCTTTAATGGGTACTTGTACATTTCTGATATCGGTTTATCATACCTAGGAATAGTCGCTTTCAAATTTGTCTGTTCAAATTTCGTTTGTATAAGTCAGCTTCTGTTAATGTGCATACTATTAGTTTGGATGGGCTTATAGCCAAAGAGTCTAAATTATCATATCACATTATAGGAATTGTTATACAATTATCAGTTTTAATCATCTGTTTAAGTTGTATTCTCTAATTTTAAAATCAGCAGACATTAAAACAAAGCTCAAATGATCATTTGATTTATTATGCCAGTTTTGTGGTATCTTATAAGCCCTATAAATAAGGCTAGTATCTATCTGGCTAGTATCCTTACTCCTTATGCTCACCTGATATTAACTAGACAAATCAAACTACAAATCAAACTATTCTGAAATGTTAGAGTAAAAAGCCGCACTTGTTATTTCAAATTTGTTCCCCTAGCTAAAAAGGGCAGAAGAGAGGAAGAGGGATTTCAATTCCTCTATTTAAACAAAATGAATAAATTTAAAAACTGAAAAGATAAAAATCTACAAACAAAAATTCAGTTAATAAATAATGCCCAAGAGCGCTGTGTCAGTCCACCTTGGACTTAAAACACTGCATGTGCAATTTACAGAGTCCTTAAGGATGAGAGACACAGCACAGGAACAGTCCCTTTCTGAAGACAGGACATTTCAAACACTTTAAAACTTACTGCCAAGTTATTTAGAAAGACTTGTGGAATCAGCAGAACGGGAACTGACAGAATCAGTAAACTCCCTGTTTTCTGGCCAGTTACATAAAAACCAAAACCAACTCGCACAGAAGTGTGTGTGACTCAGAAACAGAGGTGTGAATAAAGAGGGACTGTAGCTATTAACCACAGTGAAGAGCCAGGGAATGCTCAGTCTATATTGCATAGTCTGTGCTTCTCAAGGCTCAACTTTTTGGATTCAATAGTAGAGCTGTTAATTTGCTGCTGGTGCCTCGTGTGTTATGTTAAACTGAGGCTGTTACGTAAGGATGTGGGAAGGCCTTACTTGTGTGGGGGCAAGGCCTACATTCACAGAATCACAGAATGGTTGCGGTTGGAAGGGACCTCTAGAGATCATCTAGTCCAACCCCCCTGCTCCAGCAGGGACACCCAGAGCACATGGCACAGGGTGGCATCCAGGCGGGTTTGGAAGATCTCCAGAGGAGACTCCACAACCTCTCTGGGCAGCCTGTTCCAGGGCTCTGTCACCCTCACAGGAAAGTTCTTCCTCACACAGAGGTGGAACTTCCTGTGTTTCAACTTGTACCCATGACCCCTTGTCCTGTCACGGGCCACCACCGAGAAGAGTTTGGCCCCATCCTCCCTACATTCTCCCCTCAGGTGTTTGTACACATTGCTCAGATCTCCTCTCAGTCTTCTCTAGGCTAAATAAGCTCAGCCTTCTGCTAGGGCCTGAGGTTCTGCCCCGTCACGATCAGGGTGCGCACGGACACCACCAGTGTGCGGAACTGGAGAGTCCCTTCTGTGGCCAGGACACAGGTTGGCACAAGCACCCTCTCCTGGGGTGCTCTGAGCAGTCTCCTCCTCTGGACTGAAAACCTGTGTGTGACACCTGAGCACAGTATGTTGGCAGCCTTTAGCCAAGCAGTCCAACATATGGATGAAACACTGCACAGGCCTGAGAAGGTGACTTCACTCATTTAGTATTTACCTGTTTGGGGCTCTCTGATGTCCACAGTTAAACTATGGAAGATGATTGAGAATATGAGTAAGTCCATGTGTTTTTAATTACAGAAGTCTATCAGACACAATTTTGTACATCAGATTAATGGGTCATGAAGTGGCCATGGCCTGCCCTCCCCATCTGCTTCCCATTTTACATGTAAAGAAAAGAAAGAGTAACATGTAGTAAACTGCTCTAAGTTCTAAAAAGCATTTTCTCTTTTTCTTTCCTTTTACATGAAATTTTTATAATTACTCAGTTACACTTCTCTGGGTTAGAGATATTAATGAATACAGTCACTGAGGGTGACAACGGGCACTTAGTGGAGGGTGGTGAGAGTTAAAATACGGGCAAGAATAATATAGCAGATTTACTCCTGGTCAATTCCAGCGTAGGGGTTGTGGCATAAAAAGTGCAAAGGAAACAATATTTTGGATAAAGAAGGTGACTAAGCAAGTAGCATGTCATATCCATGTGCATTTGAGTATCACCTCTTCTAGAGCTTTTCTTTGTGTAACACTTTTGTATTCTAACTGTAATATATAGCCAAAGTGTTTCCTAGGCACAAAGCCTTCTTCTGTAATCTGACTGATTTTATTGGCATTGCTGTGAATTTTTACTTCTCCAGTATAAATCAAGGATTTACTTTTAAGTTTTAGATAAACACAGTCAGCATCTGAATTTCATCAATGCATGTATCATGAAATACAGCAGAGTAGGATGTTTTGCATATAGTTTGGTTATTTTGATTCCTATTATTGCTCCTACCTAATCTACTGCTTTAAAAGCAGTTCTATACATATGCCCAATAAAAATTTTCAGAACAAAAATATAATAATCCATTTACTTTGCTAAAGATGATCAAGAAAGACACAGCATCAGAAATTGAACCACACCACCGGTCTCCCATATACCAAGGATTAATCTCACTCATTCCTAAGGAATGAGCAAGTTTGTCAGGGAAAATTTATAATTGGTACAATTGTTAAATTACTCATTTAAAAAGTTGAAATTGGTGATAAGAAAAAAGGTGTTTTTTAAGGAACAATTTGGCAATAGGAAGTTTTGAAAGACAAGGAAACTGTGTGATTGATGCCACAGAAAGTTGTAAGACAAAATACTCTTTGCACTAGTCTAGCAGTTAGCAACTGGGGAGTCAGAGATGGATGGAAGAGGCAGAAATCTGAGCTGACTCTTAGTGGACACATCAGCAAAGATGATGGCTGTTCAGTGGATCCTCTTGGACTGACTTTCTCTCTTTCTCCAGTTTAAGATCCTAAAAACAGTTAGTTGTGCCAACTCCAGGCCTGAAATAATGAGATGCTATTTCTGAGGATGCTTTGGAGCAGGAACTGAAGCTGTATATTTAGTTGGTGTGCACATTTTAAAAAGCTTTGGGAGAACATCATTAAGGGATCACCCAAGATTAAAATTAATTAGTGAATTGTCTAGTAGGAGAGTATGAGATGGAATAACCTTGGGGCTGTGACACAATTTTTGTGGCAAAGTAACCTTCACTCTATTTAGTGGGATTAGTGTCCTCTACATATCTGATGATATTGGTCAATCTTTCCCCTTCTGCTCCTCACATTTAAAAGCAGAGTGTCTACCAGCAAACTACAGCAGCCCTGATCCAAGTGCTGTACAGAGAGAGTTAGACCTATAGGAGGATCTGGCTCTATTTATAGCAATGGACCAGAACTTGGAGAGAAACTCAGAGGAAAGATACCTTCTTCTCCGATTGGTTTCCATCTTGGTTCTGCTCATTGTGGAGTGATGTGACATGTCGGTGATGAGGCTACAGAAGCTCTAAATGGGCAAAAGTACATGTTTCCAGTAAAAGCACAAACCAACTTAGTCATAGTGCTGCTTGAACTGGAATACTTAATTTCCCTTCTGTTTAGTTGGATGATGAATATAGGCACATGGCCTGGCTGCAGCTTTGCTTGCTGTTGTGCCTTTCCCTCAGCTTCACAGGGAACAGTAAAACAAAACATCCCTGTTGCTCTCAGGTGGAATTATATACACATGGAAAGATGATCAGCTGTAAGTGTAGCTGAACAGGCAGCTAGGGTAGTGCTGTAGAGAGGAAAGCTTGATACTGCCACTTTTCTTCAAGCAGTATTCCCTAAGAGCATTAAAAGGGTGAATAGCCTGTGCTTGGTTCACCAGTTTTGGGCCTGGGATATTTCATTAGTAGCTCACTAGCCAACCTGTGTGTGACTAGACTTCAAAGCCTTTTCTTAGAGCAGAATAAATTTCCACCTTCTCCAGGAAGCAAGGCATATACCTATTACAGTAATCTTTATTTGGATTTCCTCTCTCATGCTGATTTCCAAGGGGAAAAATTTACCCTAAGCAAGTGTAATGTTTTTTTTACTTCTGTTAGAGCCTCATCTTTTTCTTACCTTTTACATAGGTCTGACATCCAGATAACAGTTGAATCCACAGCTAAGTGCAAATGTGAAATTTCACCTGCAGTTAATGAGACTCCCACTATTACAAATTTGAATTGAAACAAAGGCTATTAAACTGTTCCTTCAGGAACCAGCCCACATTACTTGGAGTTTCTGGGTTCTGCAGCTATCCCAAAACCCCTGAACACACTCCTGCTTTGCCTTCTGTGCTAGCGCGAGTGACAGACACAGTCTCATGTGGAAAGAGGATATACACTGACAAGCTCACTGTTTCATAATTTATCACCAACAACTAGGCAATTAATGAACCCCAAATACTTCCTTGCTGTATACCTTTGATGTCTTCTTCCCTTTGGAGCAGAGCACAGCTAATTTAAATGATGATATCGTAAACCCGGCCCACTCTTCCCAGCCATTCCCGCACGGCCTGGCGCACGCGGATATCTGTCACGTGGCAGGTGAGCTGACTGATACAGGGGAACACTGCTGGCTGCAGAGCTGTGAACGTCTGGTCTGGCAGGGCCTGAATCTGGTTGAGAACTGTCAGCACCATGTTGGTCCATGCCTAAATAAAGGTAAGATATTAAGACATTTTGTTGTTACAGCTTCAGGACAGAGTAATCACAGAATGGTAGAGGTTGGAAGGGACCTCTAGAGATCATCTAGTCCAACCCCCCTGCTCCAGCAGGGACACCCAGAGCACGTGGCACAGGGTGGCATCCAGGCAGGTTTTGAAGATCTCCAGAGAAGGAGACTCCACAACCTCTCTGGGCAGCCTGTTCCAGGGCTCTGCCACCCTCACAGGAAAGAAGTTCTCCCTCATAGTAATGATGGCATATTCACTGTATTTCTACTGCATCTTTCCAGTTCCTATTCAGTACTTCAAATTACTGTCTGACTTTACATTGCAGGTATCATGCTCATGTGCCTCTGCCTATTGCTTATCCTACAGTAAACAAAGATTGTTCACTTGGGCATTCAAGTATCAAGTCTGTTTAGCAACAGATTCAATATTTCTCTAAAGCATGAACAGGAAACTTAAATACAAGAACACTGTGACAAGCACACTCATGTTTTCAAAAGTCTTTAAGTGGGATTAAGCCATTAATGCTCAGCAATCAGTGTCCCTGCAGGGGACACTGTTACTTCTTAGAAACATAGTTCTTAGAAAAATGCAGCTTTGGCTCCAGTCACTGAGGCACTCGTCGAAGCTGTACGTGCCTCATAACACTTTCCTGAAGGCTGTTTTTCAATACAACAGACTTCTGCTTTTATCAGTGCTAACTTCTGGTAATATTCACTCTTATTTTGAGGGAAATATTTTAACAAAGAGATTATAATCATTCTAATAAAAGAAGCAGAAAAACATCTACAAGTCGCTTTTAAGTTATTACTACCATTGTACAAGTGTCTCCTACCTGTATCTGGGCCTCGGCATCTCGAGTAGATATATTCAGGGAGCTGACAGTGGATCCTGAGCGTGGTCGCTTCTCTTGTCGCAGGACCTCTGGGCCGGCACTGAAGGAATGCCTCATTTGACCCTGGTCTAGAAGATATTGTGGTCGCTGGAGTATGGGCGACTCTTGTCCTCTTGAGCCCAGGAGCTCCCCTTTCTTTTCCACTTTCACCTCTTTGGGGAAGGATGTCATGGCCTGTTGCTGCTTTCTTTTCTTGTATTCTGTCATGAGCTTGGAGATGGTTTTGTCAGTCGCAATGGTGTAAATCTTGTTGCCGGCACTTTCCCACCATTCTTTTTTCCTGGTTTGTTCTTTCTTCTCTGGTTTAGGACTGCTTAGGGGTGGGGGTAGCAGCAGCATTTCTCCACTCCCTGCTCTGGGTGCCAGGGTGTCTCCCAGTTGGTCCCTGATTTGACTCCTGTCATCTTCGGAGGGCGTGTCCTTCCCAGACTGCCCTCCTGTTGATGGCGTGGAGGCTTCTGAGTGGAAGGATGGTAAAATGAAGAAAGGATCACCTTTGAACATGGGAGGCTCCTCTACGTTATTCTCAAGATCTAGATGCATCTGGATGTAGTTGTTGCACAGTTCCATGCAGAGCTTATGAAGCCGCTTGATTAGCCAGCCCCAGTCTGCATTGCTGACAGGTTGTACACTCAGAGATGGTATTCGAGCTCTCCACTGTCTCTTCTCCTTCCCTCGGGGAGGACTAACTTGGGCAGTTTCTTCAAAAATGTCTTCATCTTCTGAAGAACATTGCTGTGAGGAGTCTGTGCTTCTCTCATCATCTTCAAACAGGATCTTCTTCACTTGTTCTGCAGTGATGTTCTCCTGGTTTGTCAGGATTGCACAAACCAAAGCATGGAAGTAGATGTTGAAGCTCATTGCTGACTGGCGATACAAGTTTGCAGCTCCACTAATGCCTGATACTTTTTTCAGCAAACACTTCAGCCCAGGTCTGGTGTCAAACTCTCTGGCTGTTCGATACGAGTCCAGCAGTAAGTCAAAGATGACAGCCAAGTTTTGCATGGAGATGTACCTGAGAAAACCTGCCAACTTGTTTTCTGGTACTTGTATTGTCATTTTCTCCTCCAAGTGCATGGGGCCTTTCACAAATTCTTCCAGTAAGATGTCATATAAATTCTGGAGCAGTACTTGATGGGACAGCAAGCTCACTACTATTGTCCTGAAAGGAATACTTGATAAACCAAGCATGGGAAGGAAAAAAAAAAAGTTGTGACTTTACAAGAAATATAAAAATACTTAATATTTTGCTACCTTGCATGTCAGATTCTAAATGAAAGGCCCTTTTTTTCCAGCCCTGTTAAAAAAAAAAAAAAAAAAAAAAGGAAGACAAAGTCCTTGAGCTACTCCTTCGAATACTTCCCTGTGTGGAAAGACACTTCTGTGAGTTAAGAAAAGATAACACTCCGCAGCAAGCACACTAATGAAACTTGAGCAGAGGAATTATGAAAACCAAATTCTTTAATAATTCCATTTCTTTCCTCCAGAGATGTCAAACATGGAAGGATTAAATATTCCCTTTCAGTTTCACGGCAGATGCCTGCACTCTCAATACCTCTGACTGCTGTAACTGAGAAATTTGTTAACACACAAGTTATTCAGCACTCCTGCCATCAATACCTGACTGTATTTTCTTTTTTTGCCGCTGCTAAACTTCGTCTTTGTTCAAACATCCCTGAAACTTCTCCAGTGTCTTTTCAGCAAACCTTAGCTTTTCAACTGAGGCCTAAGCTGATGTACCACATGGGTTCCATTTTCAGTAACATCAGCGGCATCTTTTAAAAGTAAGATAAAAAATGCCAATGAACCCACCAAGTAAAACCCATGTACAAAAACACCAGCAATGCAGCAGAGCATGTGAAGAAGCTGAAGTCTTGCTGAAGGTGTATTTCGTTGTCTTTCAAGACCTGAGCTTGAAAAACAAAATCCTAGTGAGGAAATACTTATTTCAAACACTGCTTCTCACATGTGATATTAGTTCTGCTCTTGTTAAGAGGCGTCTTAGGAATTACCCTATATCTCACTGACTTCTGATTTGTATAGAGGACCCAGGAATGTCAGATTCCCCAAGCCAAGTTTTTAAAGCAATTCACTACTAAGTCATATGAACAGTCTTATAAGCGGGGAGGCTAGGAAGGAGCGGAGTGGATTGTTATTACAGCAAGACATTGGTATCTCATGGATTAAAAATTACGAACTGTGAAACTTATCTCTACAAAAATCATAAAATTACACATAGTAACACTTATTTTGATTCTAGGGAACGATGACAATTCTCTTGAAAATCAATTTTGAGATTGCAATATTGATATTTAATAAAAATATATATATCCAGAAGAAAAGATATTTTAAACTAAGAATTTTGACTTATTATTCAGTTATTTCGCTAACTGAATTCTAAAACCATACATATGAGCCCAAAGTCCTGAACCTATCTACACCAGTTCACTTACCATGACACTAGCTAATGGTGCCAATACATAAGTAAAATGTATAGTCTTTTTAGCTGACAATGGTAAAAAATGGATGATTGATACATATGTTGGAGCTCTTTACTGGGGATGTCTGATACAAAAATCATTAGAGGCTGTGACTCAGAAAATCACTTAAGAGCGTGTATAAAGTTAACTGTGTGCTTGCATTGATTTTAAGAAACTAATCCTGTTCTAAAAGCAGGATCACAGTGAGAGAGATTTGCTTTCCTTATAATAGCTACACAGGCAATTTACAAAACCAGTTTAAAGTACTGCTCAATTTCAAAAGAAACTAGCACGGAACAAGCAAGGAATCAGTACTAGCATCACTTATTTTAACAAGCAAGGTGAAAACGCATGATGCTAGTGCTGGTTAAGGATAGATATTTTGCCAGTTGTTTGAAAACATGATGATGTTGTAAAACAAGAAAAGGCTCCCTTACCCCAGCTTCCTGTGAAACGATGCAGCATTAAGGAAACAAAAGCAAAAAGGGAAAAGTGAAACGCCACTAATGTTAAAGCAAATCCTTGAAAGGCCACAGTTACTAGCGTGCAAGCCTGACATGCACCAAGACTAAACAGTTGCACAGTCAAATTTTGAGCCCTGCTTCCGTAAAGCATGAATGTTGCTGGGGAAACATTTCCTTATCAGCAATTGTACTTTTACTCAGTTGTTTAGAAAAAAGGGCAAGAACAGCACTGTGAAAGCATTCAGAGTTTCTCTAAATCGCAAGCATGCTTTTTAAAATTGTTTAAAGAAAAACGTGACCCACACTACCTTTACAAATGCAACCTGTTTGACAAACTCCATGGCCTATGTGCCATGGAGGGGAGTACTCCAGTCTTTTGCTTTGCAATCATTGTAACAGAGAAGATCTGTGGACCTTTAGAACAGAGCAGATTTTTTCCCCCAAGAAAGAAAGGGTGACACTGGGACCCCAGCCTTTCCTAGCCCTTGCTGAGGAGTCCCAAAAGACAACACAGAACCCGCTCTTGGGGAACGTTCTGCACAGCTCTCTAAGAAGGGAGACTTCTTGCGTTGTCTTTCTTGGTGTCCATGCAAAAAAGACCGTGAAAATTCTGGCTCCTTCTAGCATGCAATAATTAACTTTGAATGAGGAGACCTAAAGTGGTACAGAATCAGGTTTGGTTTCTAATAAAAGATCAATATTCATTGCATATCTTGCAATATAAAAACAAGCCCTGAATAAAGAACACCATTTTTTTTTGGTTCTGTTCATGTTACAGTAGCTGGTCAAACAACCAAGTGTAAGCAGAAAAAAATACCCTTTGACAGAATCAGACACAAGCATCATGCAAACACATGCGTTTCTGAAGTGGTAACATAAAGAATTTCCATAAAAATAAATAACATCAAGCAAAAAAATTTTCCCTAGGTCAGTACCTTAAAGATTGTGTAGCTTGGATATGGCCTCTTCAATTTATATTGCTCCAGTTTACCTTTGAATTTTTCCTACCTTCTTAGTAATACTGAATTTAAAATACTGTTACTGAAGCAGACATTATTTCATTTGACAGATATCATTCAAAACATGAGTTTTTCCAAAGCTTTCTTTGTACTATACTTCCTTAAAGAAAAGAATATCAGTATTGGAAAGATTTTCCTGATATTTCCTATGAATGAAATGTTTTCTTAATTTCAGCTGTATTTCCGTTACTCAAAGGTTTTGTGTGACCCTAGGTATCCTTCAGGTATTTGTCCACATTATGAACCATGGTGCCATGAACTCCTGAACAGCAGATAATAGGTAAACTGATGTCTCACATGTCACAATTTTATTTGATCTATATGTTTCATTTATACAGTGAATCCTTTGCAAAGGCATGATTTGCCATGCTCTGTTCACATCTCTGTTAGCCTGACAGAATTTTTATTTTGCTTTTAACTACACAGTATTTTCCTGGGAAGATATTATACCTTCTCTGAGTATGTCCATTTGGTTTCTTATCTGGCGGCAGGTCAATGATGAGCACACAAGATTGGGCATGTTCAAACCCTTCCTTGTTGCTAGGAGTCTTTGGGGAGCACTGGGTTTCCAACATGAACACCTGGAAAACAATAGCACAGAGAACAATCAGGTTAGCTCTTGCACCGAATGCTAAGAAGGGCCCAACAACAGGATTTCTGTGGAAGATCTCCTGCTATAATGGCTTATTTTGCAGTGCTAGAGGTATTTAAGGTATCTCCAGACCAACCTTGCCAGGAGCATTCTGCTTTGGTAAACAGCCTCAGAGCTTTGGACTATCTCCAGACACCCAAGGGAATACAGCGGGAAGGACAGATATCTCTTTCTTTGAACTCGTGTAAGTTATAATGCTGAATGTCAAAAAGAGCTTTCTGCCAACTTTATGCTACTATCTGAAAATATCTTGTATAGTGGAGTCAAGGAGCTGTTTGTGTAGTTTTCCTGTTCTACCTAAGAAAGCTTGGTTGTTGGAAGAATTATTTTCATCCAGAAAAAGAGAGCAGATACCAAACTTGCAAATGTTTGAGAGGCAAATGTGGACACAACTCTTTGTTGCTACAGCTATTTTTCTTAGTAGTTCTGTCAAATCCCCACTGAGAAGGATTCCATTGAGGTGCTCACAAATCCTGGATTGTCTCTCTGGAATTTTTAAGCAGCATCACAGTATGATTAATCAAGTCAGAAACTGATACCAAACATCTACAAGCTCTTTTAATCCAACCACTTTACCATGCTGAAATGGTCACACAGTATTCACAGTCTCAAGGTATGCTGGGGTCATCAGACTTGCTTCGCCTCAGGGACTTTGTTTTATATAACCACTTTCACAAACTGACCAACCTCCATTGCAGTTAATAGCACAGTGCCAAAAGAACCCTGAGAAAGTCATGTCAGGGCTTGTTTTGCTGAGTCAGTGCTCAGTTTTATATCAGTTGTTTTATGTCAAGATTACACCTAAATATATAAATAAAGTTTCTCTATACATTTTTTTCCCTTCTCTGCCACCTATACACAATATTTACTGAAAGTGATATTACCCCTAAAATCTTGCTTTCGTAGGCCGAGCAAACCTAACTGTAGTTTCCTAGCAATCTCTGTTCTAATGCACTTTAGGTCCTTCAGATTTACCTTTCCTGAACAGAGAAATCAGAAATGTATGATATTCTAGATTAGGACTCCCAGTGACAGATACTTGCCTTTATCAGAAATATTTCTGCTGATGTATGTTGGTATTGTCTATTTCTTTTTAAGCTCTATTGCCCAGGGGGCTTATAATCAGCCCAATCAGGTAACATATTCATCTTTGCCCCTAATTAGTAGGCATCATTCCTACTTTACAGGGTGGTGCTTTTAAGGATTTTTTTTTAGTTTATTACTTTTTCTTCCTACTGTCAAAAAAAAAAAAAAAGTAAGTAGAAAAGTTAGCCTGGTGATGAGGAAGTCTGATTAATGTTGTACATAGGGTTTGTGAAGAAAGCTGTGGCAAAGATGTACAAGTGTTGCCTTAAGGAACACTTGCCAGAGGAAAAGGTTTTTTTTTAAAAAAAGAACAACAAGAAAGCACTATTTCGTATTGAACTTCATAGTCCTCCACAGGGAAGTGGCATGGGAGAGGTTTTCTTAGCTGCCGCTAACAATGCTCCTGTGGAAGGACACTTTCTTCAGCCCCCTTCTCTGCTATTCCCCAGAACTTTCACACGGAGAAGCCTCAGGTTCGTTTAGCTCCTTGTCGGCAGCGCCACGGAGGAGGCGGCGGCTCTGGCCTCCCCCGTGAAGCGCTCAGTACCTGTTGGGCCATGGCTCTGATCCTCCAGTACTCCGCTTCGGCGCTTGGCGAGAGGCAGGGGGCTGCCACCTTCACTTCACAGGCATCTCCACTGAAGCTTTCAGCACCACTGTGGAAATAGCCCAGCAGGTTCTACAGAGAGACACAACACCAGACTTTCACTGTGCATTAAATGAAGTCAGCAACTGCAGAGCTGTCCATCCTGCTCACATGTGTTACACGATGCAGAGTGATCAGTCTCGTTATCATCAGCCTGCCTCCTGCTCTTTAGCATTTGATGAAAATGCATTACAACTTCTTATGCAATCTGGCCTATGAGGAATTAACAGGATTTTTTATTGCAAGAAAGATAAGAGTCTTATTGTAAGTCTTACCATAAGTCTTACCATAACTCCTATGATAAGAGTTGAGAAATAATCTATACAGAATATGCAGCAACATGATCAAGCAAGCAAGTGATGGTCTTCTGTTGACCTTTAGTTAGTCCAGAGGTAGAACTTGATCAAAAGGTAATTGTCACCTATTTAACCCTCCTGATTTCATATTGACAGGACAATTTGAAAAATTCTCTGCTGTCAGTGACAGTGTGTCTGCATATGTTCAGAAAAACAGATTTCAGTCTCTGTTGTTGATGCAACACCTTTCATTGTAAGTGAACTCACAAAATAATAAAAACTACCACATGTTCTTTAGGCTCCTTTTCCCTGCTGTGTACACCACCACATCCCCCCCAAAAAGCATTTTGCCAAATGTTAGTGATTCTAATCAGTGTGATTACGTTTTGAATCTCAGCAGAGAGGTAACTTACCTTTACTGGCTCTAGAGTAGCAGAGAACGCATCCTGCAAGGCACAACATGCAAGCCTCCACATCTCTTCTGTAAAAACAGGTCCTGCTGTCACTAACACATACCTGCAAGCAAGGATACAGAAAAACATTACCACATTCAAGAAAGAGATAGACAGTTCTCATTTGTAATGAGAGAAAGTTGAAAACAGAAGAGGCCACTCAAAAGGTATCTCCAGTATCTCATTTTTTAAAAAATATACTGTATTTTTTGACAGATTTTTTTCTTTTTCTCTGAGGAGAATCCAACATTGAAGACGTATAATGCAGTACTTACTTTGACTGTGATTAATAACAACCTGAAGGCTCTGAAGGGGATTTATTACAACTAAACACCTATGAATTCTAACAGCTCTAAGGATTGCTTATTTACTAATTGTATACAGGCAATGTTTAAATGTTTTTTTTTTATGGCAAGAGAACACAGAGTTCTTAGAATTGCAGCTTCTGAGACTCACAGAAAAGAACAAGAAAAGGCTGATAAAACCAAAACTCAGCATTAAAATATCATGAGGCAGATATATTGCAGAATTCTTTTGAGATATTAGCCAACTTAGTAAGTCTTCAAAGATTTGAGACATAAAGCCATCTTATTTGACATACTAACAAAGTAAAGAGATTGTTACCTGATACAAGAGCAGCCAACTCTGGATATTATTTCTGTTGGTTCTGCTACACAGGCCACCAGCAATTTGAAAAGATCTTTTAACATAGTATTGATCATATTTTCATAACCGATATCTATAAGGGAAAGACAAGGACCATTTTAAACATCATTGGATTTCCATTATTATCTGGAGACAAACAACTTTGCTACATTTATTGCTACTCAGAGACTTTGCTAAAACAACTCTTGTTAAGCAGCTATGACTATGGTTCAGTTCTGAAATCTACATCAAATTGAAACAGGAACAGTCATTTCAAGGTTAACATTATAAAATGTTTGTGCCTAAATGATACTAGAGACATTCTGCTAGTTCCTGTTTCTGACTACTCTAGTTCTTTATCATCAAAGTCCTAACAACATTCTTCTGGAAAGTACAATATAAAGAAACAGAATGGGTTAAAAAACATCCACGGGTCCATTCCAAGTTACATTTTTTCCCATGATTTTAAACCCCTCTAAGCCTGATAAAAATAAAAAGCACCAAATGAAAACACATCTCCTCAAACAGCTATTCAATAACATGCTACTGATGACTGTCATTAGCAGTGACAGTGAGATGACATACCCGAGTGTATGAAACTCTGGATGTGCTCCACGACCAGCTCACAGGAAAGGCCAATGGCATGCTTGAAATTAGCGGATGCCACATCCCAGTAAGAATGGTCACCATGACTGCGGTGCAGCCAAAGGGACATCGTAGGAAGAAGAAGATGAACAACTGCATAAATGCCAAATCCGGGGCCTTCAAGCAAACAAATTAAAAAAAGAAACCACAGTGAAGGTTGCATACCTTGGCCCATAAAGTTTACATGCAAAGTGATTTTCATAAACTGTTCTAGGCTTGAGGACACAGGTTATGTGATGCTAAGAAAGCAGGTTTTGAGATTCTATTTGCAGGATGAGTGGGGAAGAGCAGTTTTGGGTTACTTAATTATGAGCTAGTATGTGAACATTTATCCAACTGTTCATCTGCTGCGCTGCCCAAGGAGACTACAAGACTTTATCATTTTCTTTTTGGATTTTCTGGATTACACACAAACATTTTATGTGGCTAAGGTACTGATAGAGGACTGCACGTCTTTATTTGTGCCTATAGGACTTCAACATACAAGATATCTTCTGTCCACATAAAAGAATGGGCTAACTGTAACCACACAGGACACTCGTTTCTTTTTGAGGATATGCCTGTGCAGCTCCAGCATGGCAATACAGTTTACAGAAATGATTTTGGATTCTAGGAGAGTTGGCCAGAGCTCTGCTAGCTCACATTTTATCAAGTCTTTTCATTACCAGGTGTCTTGGCAACATCCCTCAGCAATTCAAAGAGCAGATCCAGAGTGGGGGGCTGATGCTGGCGGGGACAGTTGGATATAGCAGTTGTTAATTCTTCCAGCAGAATAATCCAGACATTGATAAGGCCTACAAGAAAGAAAACAAAGATTCAAAGGCACAAGTGACAATACTGCATCGACCAGAGATGGAGCTTGCCCTTATAAAATGAGTAAAGCTAAGAAGATAACTGATTAAAGATCATGAGTACTTATTCTTAATTCATTCTCACTCATTTTTGCTGCGTAATGGTGGAGAGTGATACTAGTTTTTGAAAGGATGGTCTCCTTTTCTCTCTCTTAAGTTGCATGTCATCCTCTCCTTCCACATATACCTTTTTGTGATCTCTTTTCTCTTTCTTCTTTTTCCGGTCACATTAGTTCTGTCTTTTAAATATGTTAATCTCTCTTTTTTTTAAATAGGCACATTTCACATCTCACTACTAGTTTTGCAAATTTTGTCCAGAATGGTTTGTACCAGCTGCTTTGCTCATGCTCTTAGACAGTTTTTGCACTGCTTGGCTCTCTCTATGCTAGTTCTGGGTCCATCAAAGGCCTGTTCACTCCACACGCTATATATGCTGCGCAAATAATTAGGAGAGAAGTGCTGCTTGTTTTTCTGGGGATTGTAGTAGTTTTGATGGTCTTTGGAAATACACCACCATTTAGTCCAATAAACTCAAGAACAGTTTCAATTTAGAAACTTTCTTAAGCAAACATTCAACATTGTGCTAATCAACACTGTTCTTTCTGTTACATACACACCTGCCCATACCAAACTTAAAAGTTTTTCATTCCTTTAATGCTGCCATGGTCCAGAAAATATTTTTGGACCAAAATACATGCTGTTCGTGTTATGAAAGTCAGGATAATTAAAATATTATTACCTTTTTCCCAAAAGAAGGGCTGCATTTTTATCACATATGAGGTACATCTTTTTAACATAAAGGAGGTGAAATTACCAGAACACACATGCTCATATACTAACGTGTTTGTTTAAAGTTAGGCTGCAAACACTGCAACTGCTGCTGAGACAGGAAACACCTTACTGCACCTAGCTTCCAAGCTGTGTATATTTGTAGACAACACAGAGAAAATAAACACTGAAAAGTTTTCCCCTCTTTGCTTGCTTTCAGTAATTGTCAAAATTTACAGCAATGCGTGGAAGAAGCAATGAATTCCTCATTAATTCCTCTGTGTCATCCGGTGTAGTCACAGTTGCTGCTCTGAGGGCACTTACCAGTGTCATCATCGAAGTCAGACAGGATGCACTCAATGCCATCCTCGCTGCTGGCTGACTGCTCCTGCGCTCTGCGGGGCAAGTTAGCCAGCCGGCCACTGAGGAACATGGGTTTCAAGGGCATTTTATAGATTTTGGCTAACAACTGAAAAAAAAAAGAATAAAATTAGGGGAAAGTGTGCAAAGGCTGTAACATCCTGCATGGATATGTAAAACAAAATAAGGGCTATGAAAACAGTATTGCAGTCCTCATAAATAACATATTTTGGGAAAGGAGCAGTGTCATTTGGGAAAGACAAATACTATTTACTGCTAGCACCTGTGAGCTAAGAATCACGTGTTTGCAATATACAGACAAGTTTTCCTTTTGTGTCATCTCTTTTCTTCTTCTACAGATAAATTAAAACACATATCAAAATAAAGAATGGTTTATTTTAAAAAGGAGAAAATGTTCTCTTCCACTGGGTTTGTAAGGACAAGGAAGCATAATGTACTATACAGAAAGTTTGCACAGAATATATGTCACATATTCCCTAGAAGTTTAAAGTGAGGATAGCAAGTACTATGTTAAGTCTTCCATTTATTTTGCTGACTGGTGCTGCCTCGTTCTTTTCTTCTTTCCCACTCTGGATACCACCTGTTATCTCTGTTCAAGATACTCTGTCTTTTCTGCTATGGGAACATCCTTTGTTATGCATTTGTATAGCACCTGGAAAAAAACATGGCCTGGATGCAACACAAAGACCTTCAGGTACTACAGAAAAATGAAAAATGTTATGATATCGGGCAGACAAAAAAAGTCCTAATAACCCTGGATAATAATCTGTGTTGCGAGCATGGAGATTACAGGAAACATGCCAGCAATTGTTAGAGATTTGCCCTGGGCTTCAGACATGTTTTTGTGGTACAGATAAGCTTCTGCTTTGTTTCAGAGGGTGTAACCCATTATGCCCCTTAAAAAAAAAAAAGAGAGAATTCTCAAACCCTTTTTTCTTTCCAGAATTCTCAGCACTGTTTACAGCAACTGTTTGAGAATTAATTTAAGTTTGAATGTACAAATATCAGGTTTTGAACATTCACTTTGTTTATGGTCTGCTTTTGTCACATGCTCCTCAGGTCTGAGTGCTTTTATCTCCTGAGTTTTCCTACTGTTAGCTTGCTTGCAGAGTATGACGCTCTCTCAGACTGCCACTCTCCATCTGGCAGTGCAGAATCTTACCATTAAGCTTACTGCACGTTTGCTGCATTCAAACAAACTATCCAACCGTCAGTGCAAAACCTGAAGGTCAGCACTGTTTTCTAGGTCATGTTAGTAGCTACGTGGTATCAGCCAGCATACCTGAGAACATCTCCTGAGGTAATCAAGGGCGGGAAGGCACAGTTCTGTAGACGCGGATCCTGATCCTGACACACAGTCACCCATCTCCTTACAATCTGCTTCCCCTGTGGAGGGGGAAGGCAGCATCAGGAGGGACAGAAGAAAAGAAACAGCCACTGAATTAATATCTCTTTTTCATTCAGTTATGCCCTAATATCTGAAAAGAGAGATCAGAAAACATCCTTTGTCTGATCTTATTAGACAGTAACTAGATGACGCTCCTACAAATGATACATTAATATGAGTCACAGGTTATAGTCAGACTTTTATATTCATTTGCACTCCACTACCCTGGAAATTTATTCTAACAGAAGTGCTTCCTTCTACTCCTTAAAATGTATGTCTTTATACTACAAAATCTCCTTTTGCTGTTTTTAATCCAGACTTGGATCCATTTTGAGGATGGATCAGTTGTCCACTAGAAGATATGCTCTCAGGATTTAATGTGTCAGCACCATAGTTACGTCTAACCCCGTGGCATTGGCAAACTCATACTTTCAGGTCAGCTTCAGCAAGCATATTAAATTAGAGGAACAGCTCCAAGACCTCCTGTTGCACAGCTCCTCCCTGATAACTCCATTCATTCCGGTATTTTCTGCTCCGGCACAATCTGCTTTCCTCCCCTCTCAGGGAATGTTTTGCCCAGCCCAGAATTCTTGGCTCATACCCATTTATCCATGTTTAACCACATACTTCCAATTTAGTGCCAAATCTGAAGCTTTACTAACTGCCTGCATGCATTAAGTTTTTACTGCCTCAATAATCTACTCCTCTCTCAAGAAACACAAGATTAATGCGATCTGCTTCTACTAAATCCCACTTCTTTCGCTCCATTTCTTTGTATTTTCCATGCCCTTAATCATTCCCTCCATAATGTATTTTAGCCTTCTCTATTATTGTCATAGTACATTTGCTATATTTCAGGACTAAAACCCTACAGTCCTAATACCTTTAGCACAAAAACATCCTTGCTGTTGGACCTGTAACTCGCAAAGGAGACAGATTTATCTTATGAAAATCAGAAACTTAAACAAGTACAAGATAGGCTTATAAGACATGACTTCCCTCTTCTGGTTCTGCACATGTGATCTTATTTCTTTCATAAATAGTAATAATTACAATTCTGGTTTGTCATCCCAAGTTGGATTCTGCCCCTGTTAAAATTAATGGTGAAATAATGTACTCTGACAGGATTAAAGGTAATCATCAGATGCCATGGCAGTTAGCTACTTCATTTAAATCAAAGAAAGTTGCTTGCAAATCTAAATACCTCTGTGCATCTGCAGCCTGAGCTGTAATAATACACACACAAGGGAAAAAAAAGTTGAATTTTACTGCCCATTATTTTTTTTTTCGATTTACAAAAACTGTGCCATTAATTTTCTCCTTAAGAAAAAGTGTCACATTGTAATGATCAAGGAAGGCAAGAGAATGTGCACATGGGGCAGAATAACTAAACAGTGCTCAGTGTTCACTTTGTTCTGCAGTCTGGTGAAACACTACAATTCCTTTGCAGGGTCATGTTGACTGACACTCCTGATCTCGACTTCCTTCAACAAGACAATGGAAAGCTTGATCGTGGGGATAGACAGTTGTTATCTCCATTGCTCCTGATGTCACTAACGGTTCAGAAGGTTTGGACACCGCCTGCACCAACACTACAGCTCCTCAGAGCAGGAAGGAAACATGCAGCTTCGATCACTGAATGCAAAACAGTCAATGCTCTGTTGCAAACAAACCATGCTGCTACTGCACAACTCAATAACTGCAATATAATCAAGTCTTGGTGCAAGTAACAGAAAATGAAAAAGATACTTAATAATGAGATGAATCTTTGCTGATATGGAAACTTGAAAACTTGATAGCATTAAAAGTGTTCCTGAAATAATCCCTTGACTTTGACTGTTTAAAACATTCTGGGCTCAATGCCTTCACAGTCTCTCCTCCCTACCGTGCTCTGTACTATGTAGCAGGATTCTGCTGCAGAATCAAATTTGACATACCATGCCTTAATAGAATAAAAGGAAAAATAAAACATAGTTACCCAGTCCTTTGACAAACTTCATAAGGCACATAATGTAACTGGTGGCAGCATTGGCAAAGACCTGGATGCTGTCTGTATTTAGAAATGCTTCAAAGACATCGAACACTGGAGCCTGCCGTTTCCCTGTGGAAATAACAAGGTGAAAACTTGTCTCTCTTCCCAGCAAGCATGGTTTTCCCACACTTTCTTAACAATTCAACAGAATCTGTGGAACCTCTTCTGTTCTGAGCAACAAGAGACAGAAATGTTCTAATGATCTCAGCAGCAAGGCCTGATGTGCTTTCTCTCTTAGCTCCTGAAGGAATTCACGTCGCCCTCACAGGAAGTGCATATGACAGCCTGACTTCTCTGCCTGATACTATGTAAAGTATCAGCTTGCCACTACCCAAATGCCAGCAGCAGCCTTGGGCTCTTGAACTCGGGTCAGTAGCTCTAACACCTCTGGTAAGGTTTTTGATTTAGTTCTTGAGGTCTGGTCAGCAATATGACAGCAATCTCACGGCAAACCCTGACTCTTCTGTTAATGTGGCAAAATAGCCTTATTTTCTGAAGTAGATTATCAGTATTTAAAGCTGTACACACTTGCGTTTTGCCACCAAACATGAGATTTGATAGACAAACTTTTAAGAGGCAATCCTTATCTCTCATACATGTCTTCAAACATCAAAAAATAAAACAGTTATACAGAGCAAATGAACAACCACACAAACAACCATCTCTGTCTCAGAAAGATGTAGAATTGTTCATATGGCAAACAGAATTTGTAGGAACAATAGCAATTTGAGTCCTTGTGATGAAGGGCCTGGATGGGTACCTGCCTGAACTATCACACTAATTCACCTTAATGCATAAGAGCAGTATGTTTCATATAATTAGAATATATACAGCACAGTCCATATCAAAAGTGGCAGCCATATGCAGCATGTTTTGTCTTCTCAAGCAGGGGAGTGCTGATGGACCAGCGAACCGCACTGCTCATGCACTACTGTTCTGCTCAAAAATACTCAAATAAGTTTGAGAGATTTCTGTCTCATTCCACTCATCTGCAAGGATCTATAGGACAAAATGCCAGAACATTACCTCTGCTTCCCCCTGACTCCAGCCTATAAACAATGTACTTCAGTACAGTCCTAGAATGTTGTAGCACCACTACAAAGTTATGAGTTGTACTATCTTAGAGCATTTGTTCAGGCAGGGCAAATAAAATGCATTGAATTCTTTTTTTATATCCCCAGAAATGAGACTGGGAAACAAATGCATATATGAAACAGACAATGCAGTAAGTCCTTACCCATGGAGTATTCTCCTACAAGGTACTCTTTAACCTCTGACTTGCTACTGCTGTGCACCGTTTCCAGGGCGCTGAACAGGGGTCTCCATCCAGACTGGATCTGAGTAGAACACATTTCCACCAACTCTCCTATAGAGGTGACCACCTAATGACAACACAAGAGAGTTCAATCTGTTTTATCTGGAATTTTTATTTTTTATTTTATTTTTTTGCATAGTTAACAGAATAGCTTTATTAAATTACTTTCAAGAGCAAGTCTAAGGAAGAGCAGGTAAATGACAAGGTACAGAATTCTGAAAACATGATGCTTCCACAAGTGTCTATTATCAGTTCTCTGAATGTATGGTTCTAATGTCTGGTGCATTAAAACTTAACAAACAGAAATAATCTGGTAGGTAAAAATATCACTTTGGGGTATATTTCTGATGAAAGACCCAACAAGAGAGCAGGGTCACTTACATATTAATCAGACAACCCACATAACAGAAAATCCACCAGGTTTCACTGCACTGGAACAAGTGCCCATGCTGTTTTGCAGTAGACACAGATAACGTTTTCCACAACCCTTGTTGCTGGCTTAGGTAGGAAAAGGCCTCCTGATTCCTTGAGGATGATTAAGAGGAACCATTTGAAGGGAACTAATGAAACACTCAAGTGGTTAAGTACACTCTGGAGATCACCCTGCTTATGGTAGCCACCCTAAGGAGCGCTGACTTGCCTGGTCTTGGACATCCTCATCACACAGCTCCAGCTGCATGATGCGCTCAAAGGGGCGGAACAGCGCCTCATTGAAGTGGAAATGGGAAGGTTCGTTCCAGTCTGTCAGCACTTCCGTGAGGATGTCATGGATGAAGGAGACAGCCTTCCGAGACACATGCCTCTCCTTGTGACAGGCAGCCTGCATGGAAATGGGAAACATGACCAAATTTGCTTTTTATTTGCCTTTTTTGCAGAACTGAAAAGTGATGCGTATCTATTTGTTCTGAAGAGCTACTTACAAGAAACACCAGTGCATGTGGATATAAAGTTATCCTGTTTTGAGCAGCTATGCAGATTATGCTGAATTCAGTCCTTTACATGATGTTACTCCTCAAAAGTCACCATCTTCCCAATCATGCTGGTTTGGGCAGGAGTGGGAGGGGCTCGGGGAATAAAGTCTGTTACCTTCTATCAGAAAACTTGCTGCACAGACACAGAACTTCTTGATTGGGAAAGTGGATAGATGGGGGAGTTACTTGTATCATGGCAGAATAGTTTCAGTGATTTAAAGGTTCACTTCTCAGTGGCAGTACCACAATCTGAGTCATTGCGCACAGTGTGTGCAATATCTTAACAGGAGGCAGCTTGCACCAAATCTGACTGTGGAAGGCTGACACGTACTTCAGGAGTTATCAAGCCTTCTGCAGTCATTTCAGCCTCCCTATCTCTTACCCACACTCTCATTTTCTCCCCACCTCCTACCTCTACAAGGTGAGGTGCAACCAGACTCCAGCAGCGCATGAGGTGGAGCAACGGGCGTGATTTACTCCGGACAATCCTGAGCATGGCATCACCGAGTCGGAACAAGTGAAGTGCACTTCTCCTGTCCTGCGTAGATTTTACTTCACCTACAAAGAAGTGAAAGAAAATTCATGGTAGTTAAGCAACATTGGCAACTTCATCTCTACATGTCTACATTGCAATTTAAATCAGGTTAGAAATTATTGGTACTAAGTCAGGAAGAAAACAGTGTAAGACAGTCTGTGCTTTTGGAGGTAAAAGAACAACAGATGGCTCCAATTTTTACAAAAAACTCATTAAATGAAATTAATTTTAAGAGAACCATTTTTCAAACATTCTTAAGACAAAAAGCTTGGCGAAACTAACACATTATAATTCAATTATGATATCCAGCATAGACAAGTGCAGACAAGTTAAGCAAAGAGATAATTCACACTGAAAATCAGAGGTAGCTGCAAAAACCTTTGGTGACATCTACAGGAATGAATATAAATTGCAGATTGTTTAACTTTGGTCGGCCCTGTATTTTCTAGAAAGAAAAAGAATGAGACGCAGAAAATTTGTGTAAATAATCTTCAGCTCCCCACCCAGTAATATTCTTAATTTCCCACTGAAAAGGATTCACCTTCCTTTGCTTTTATAACATTTAGAAATTCCATTTTACTGTCTCATTTAAAATGTACTTTTGCTTTTATTTCTGATGAAACACCTAGCCAGACCATACTAATTTTAAAATAAAAATATTTTTACAATTATTTGCCTAGACAAATTTTAATATCATTATTGCTAACCACTGTTGATTGACTATTATAAACAAAGAATATGAAGTGATGAATGTTGAGACCTAGAGACACAGTCAACAAGGTGAAAGAGGTAACAAACTGAAGTGTCGCACTGAGGAAATGACGGGGTGAAATCCATTGAATTGGAGACATACACCAGATAAAATTCACCTCTGTTACCTCTGCATCAAACTTGCGCAGTTGATATAACAGTTAAAGGCAAAGTTCAAATTCCAGTGGAATATCTTCCTTTGGATCTGGTCCTTCTGCTCTATTTGAGACTGTCATGAAAACTATTCCATGGGCTTTTTATTACACAGGATATATTCCACCTTGCTGAGGAAGAGCATGCAGGAGAGATGCCACTATTTTATTTTACACTCTTCAGTTGTACGCTTTGTTTGCTACTGCTCATTCAGTGAGCACTTCTGAGGTTTCTTCCACTTTTCAAAAGCCTAAACTAAATTCTGCTATCTTAGGTCTACATTCAGCCTGAGTTTCCTTACTAGATCAGGCTCCAGAATAAAGCTGTAATTAAATATCTGTGGATAACTAACACCTCCAAAGTCCAAGAACCAAGTAAATACCCATTCATGAGATTCATGACATGTATGGACATGGTTCTTGTCCAAAAAAATGAGACAGTGTTTTCTAAACACTTTGAAATTTTCCTACAGAGAAATCTTATTAGATTAAATGTCTTTTACTGATATCCTTGAGATTTTCATTGGAAAAAAAAAAAACTATGAATGCAGAGCAAATTCTCTAAGCAATACAGTTGCATATGAAACAGAACACTGTATCAGATACAGATGATTTACCTGGCATTGCTAGGGAGTAATCAACTGTATCCGTGACTGAATGGAAAAGCTGAGATTGAGAAGCCTTCTTGAGCTGGTACAGGAAGCCTGCCAGGGCCATCAAGTTTAACTTCTCAGTAGCATCTTCAAACAGCCTGTAAGCAAAACAGCAGAGTCTAATTGAAAAATTAATGATATGGTAGCTTAAATATGTATGTAGGAGGAGAAGCCTTAGCTGTATACAGCTGATAGGTGTTGCCTTTGGCAACAAACTGGTCTACTGAGGACTTTTTCATTTATACAGTGATATAAAAACGCTTTGATCCAACAGCTTTATTTGGAGAGTGAGAAGCAGTGTTCAATGACCCACCAGAACCCTTAGAAGACTCAAAAGCAGCACCAAACCTAAAAGTTACTTTTTCAACGAATTACCCCCTCAGATTTATAGCTCCTTAATGCCAAAAGCAGATCATGAACCTGTAATTCAAAAACCTATGAGGACATGCCCAGTCCTCATGATATAGGGTATCATGGCTTCACTGACCTTCACTGACAGCTGTTCGCCCGATCTGAAGTTTGAGCAAAATTAAATTTACTTGTACAATTAATTAACTTAAATCTTAGACCTTAAGTTTTTTCAGCTGAAATGCTATTTAGAAATATTTCAAAAGAGGTGTTATTTTCAGCTGCTTTGAGGCCTTAAAATGTAGGAATGAAGATCTATATCCTTAAAGCAGTAAATTCATGCTTATGTAATGGGTAGATTTCCACAGAGGCCATGATGAAATTTTACATGATGTAGTCACAAGTTGACACAATTAAAACTTTCTGGCATTCTCATACATGAACAACTTTCTACTGCCCTGAGGTGACAGAGTGCTAAGAAAGTTCATACTGAAGTATGGACTACATCTACATTGTATCAAGCTCTTACACGCACAGTCAGTATGCATTACTTTTCCTACTAAATTCTATTTATAAATCCCTCCTACAGGCAGAGCACAATATGTCAGCTTGAGAAAAAAGGTATTAGAAGGATGCAAAACCAAGATGTTTTCAAAAGTAACCTGGACTGCCAAATAAATAGCACAAATAGTGAGAAAGTTTGTGACACATCACTGCAGACTGCAGGGACATTCAATGCAGCCAGTGACTGTGCCTGGTAGCCCTTCCTCCCCCAGAAACCTAGGGACAGGCTGATAGCAGCTGCTTTCTAACTGACACTGCCCTTGTCACTCAGTCCCCTCCTGTCAGGACATGACAGCAGTCATGCCTGCCTTAATGAGCAAACACAACAATTAAATTATGTTAATTTATGTGTGCACATCATTTAGCTGGTATATGCATGGTTGTGCATAGATGCAAACAGCCTAGCGCTTCCCAAAAGTGGGGCAGACACTGCAGAGGTGCAGAAAAACACCTATTTTAGGAACCACTGGCTGTATCGTACATATAGCTCTCTTTTAAACTCAGATGAAGCGAGTAGCTGAAACAGCCGTAAAGATCAAGCCCCAGTGCACAGGAGAAGGGTCCATTAGAGGTTTTGGGAACAGGAAGGCTGGTTCCTGACAGTACTGCTCCTACCTGTCGGCTTGTGTGGAAAGCGTGAGAACAGCCTTGGCAGCACTGGTCCCACAGAGCAGGCTGCCTCCACGGAAGTCGAAAGCTTTGCCCTTGCTGCCCTCCTTGAGGAGTTCCTGGATGGAAAGGGGCTGAATGACAGGATTGCTGCTAAGGGTGGTCTCCTGCTCAGGGGTCAGCTCCCGAGGGGAGTCCCCAGGCTGGGAGTCGAGGTGCAGGCCGCTGGGGCCCTGCTGGGCCTGCGTGATGGTCAGAGCGGGCTGGGAGGCGCCGTCGCTGAAGTGCGTGTGCTCCAGGGTGCTGATGTACTCGCACACCCTGGGGAACAGCAAGGGAAACAAGGCATTAAACAACAACAACTACCACCCTCCTTCTCCCCTGAATCACAGGGCTTGCTTAAGAAATGCCTCGGTCTGTAATCCACGCTCTACTCAGGGACAAGACAGAAGAACAGTGTAAGTAAAACTCTCAGCAACTCTCAGCTACTTCAAATTTCCATCACTGTAAGAAGCCAGGTTACAAGGATTCACAGACACCAATTTCTACATCTGAACCAGATACAATACCCAAGACATTTTTTCTCAGACTGCAGAACAGATGATCTCTGACTTTCAGACTGCATACAAATAATCTGTTGTCTTACATCTCTCAGCCTCCACTGCAAAAACTTGGGCACCAGCCCAGGAGCCTGAAAAGCCCTTGTAGGTTCCTGGTTCTGCCGCAGTCCTACGGTAACTTTGAGCTTTGATTTTGTCTCTGAACAGTGGTGGAAAACAGCATTACTTTTTCTCTTAGGGATACTGACAGTTTATTTACTCCGTTACTTTTTATACAGCTTGCCCCCAGACTAGATTAAAGGCCTTAGCCTCAGCCTGCCCCTGCCAGGCCACAGGAAACACATTTGGTTTCTGCTTGAGAAGAACTGCCAGTACCTGAACACATGAGGCCAGCAGTCCTGATTGTGGCTCCCCATCTCCAGGCCCACGTTGAGGACTGCATCCATACACAGCACATGAGCGGTGTGTAGGCAGACTCCCTGTACTTTCCCCATCTGCTCCAGTTTCTGCTCCACTTTCTGTTTCACTGCAACATGCAAAATAAAGAGAACATTACCTTCTCCAGCTTTTAAACAAGCATTTCATGGTTTATATTATGGCAGCAAAGGTGTACATCTGAAAGACAGACATAAAGGAATGGGGATTTTAATTAAAAAACAAACAAAAAAACACTCAATCTCCCATTTCTTCCTCATATAGTGTTTGAAAAAATAAAAATCTCTTCTGCTTAATTACATTACATTAAAAAAAACACAATGTCAGATTGGCCCGCAACCCCACAGATTCACATCTTGTTGCCTACAGAACAGACGCAGCATTCCTGTGATATTACAAGCTTATCTCTGCAGCTGACTAGATTTTTTTTTCCACACAAAGTCTTCTTTGCTAATAGAAAAAGGCTTTGTGGATTTCGTATCTATTTCAATAAGAAAGAAAATCTTCAAAAAACTTTTGATAATAGATACTCTTGTCAAAGCAAAACTAATCCTGATCTTAGCTTACAAGCATTTGAACATCATTTTTTTTCATGAGAATCTCTGAAAAGATTCGTTTTCATGCTGTGTTAGAATGGAAACAAATTCTGAAGCTTTGCAAGCTTTCATAAAACAGAACTGTTGCCTTCTGGCCAGCACGACGACTGTCTCTGCCTCAGTGTGGCTTGGCCAACTTTCTTCAGTCACATGTAGCAGAATGGTCAAAAGGCAGCTTATGCTTAGGCCTGTTCGGCTTTATTTACTGGAGTCTCTAAAGTACCATGGAGGGCCACTTGTGAAACACTATCTTTTTTTATGGGTTTCTTGCTATTAGAAACCAGATGCTATCAGCCTCATTCTCCATACATCTCCAACTAGCCATCAGAGATGGCAACAGACTTTAATGACTTCCACAGGGTTCAATGCAGAACTTTCTGCTTGATATACAGGTAACTTTTTTTTTTTTTTGTAAATTCCAGCTTCACTTAGCACAATTCGGAAGAAGTTTTAAGTATCTGTCAAAGGCAAAGGATGCATACACAAGCCATGAATAGAGACAGAAGCTTAGTTTACAATATTGTCACACAACATGTATTTTAAAAAAGTGTTGTTTCTCTGATGCAGTCTGGTTGCATTAGCATCATGAGGCTTAAAAGAATGCACATTTTGAAAATGCAGTTGGCCTTATCTGTTGTCCAACTGGTTTCAGTTCCATACAGAATATAACTACAGTGTGGACAAAGTTAAGAACTGAGGACAGCAGGAGCTGTCCTGAAGCCTCTACAAATACACCACATACGACCACAAGGGAGTGATGCACAGAAGTGACTTTTCCCTCCTTCACATGCGTGTAGTTAGACACCTTCCAGTTGGCACGATGAGGTAAGGCAGACCATTTAACCACCTAATTACCTTGAGTTATAGCATCACTAGGCTCTTGGACTTCTTTTTCCTCTTTCTCTTCTTGGACACAGGAGGCAGCAGCCATTTGGGCAAGGGCAGATGCACAGTTGGCAGCAACCCCTGTGAAGCAGCAACATAACCACTGTTCAAGCTGCATTTCCTCCCCAACCCCATGCAATCTCAGCAACAGCTGGTGTCAAGTGAAAGATGGCTGGGGGTGTCTATGCTGTGGGGTAGGTGAGCTCCATGGAAAGTCCTGCCATCCTAGTCCCTTGATCACTCAAGACCAGTGTTTTGTTTCTTTCCTGAAGTCTCTCAAGGAAAGTTGCTGTAATATCTTATGAGCCTTCCACTATATCCCATGTGCAGCAATACCTAGAGCACAGCTCAGCCGGGCTGCTTTCCTCAGTCCATCCAGGCTCACACAGATGGAGTCCTTCTCCTTCTGGTTCTGCTCCTTGGCTCCTTCTGCTCCCAGGATGAACGCCAGGCCCTTGGAGCTGCCTGCCATGCGGCCAGTCAGCGGTGTGGACAAGGTGTCAATCATGTTTTTCCAACAGCCAATTAAAAGATATCGGGCAAAAGCAATTCCTAGGATGAGAAATGTGTTACTACTTTGGGAGAATGACATAACCACAACTTTATCATCAGTGTTAAAAAAAAAAAAAGAGACCTATTGGTCCTCTGCATGCTGGACCATCCATTTCACACATAGGATGCACCGAAATGTTTCCTTCAACACTTTAAACCCCTTAAAACCCCTTGGGTTCTAAACCTCAGTCTATCTGAATACATTTATGGTCTGTAACAACTCACTGCAGTTAGATATACTTGTGCTATTCATACAATCTTCATACCTGCAACAATAGAATCATCTGTTTTCTGGTTTTGGGAAAGAGGGGATTGTGCTGAAGCAGAGGCCATCAATTGGCCACCGATTGCACTGCTTCCCAAGCCATCAATGTCTGCCAAAACAAAAACAAAACAAAACAAAAATCCAGACTACTATTCAACACACAGACAGCATAAGGGAAGTGTTTCTTACGGCTCTTTGTTTGAGCAAATCCTAGTGCTCCTTACTCTCTGGTACACTTTTTAGTTATCTTTTCTGGCAGCCTTGTGAAACCTCGATACAGACATCAACTGTGGCATCATATATATGCTTTGTCCACTTTAACCAACCTTTTCTCCAAAAGGGGTAATAGCCCATTCCAAGCACCCTTGAACTTATGGTCAGCAGAACTCTTTGCAAAGATTTCCTGGTGTTTTCCAAGACCATGACTTCCTGCACCTTTGAGTTTCCGGGTTCCTGAGTACAGTCTGTCATATCTTGCCAAATCCTGTAACCGGATGTTCCCACATCTCAGTCTGAGACCCCCAGATGCAACAATATCTTATGTCCAAATTGCATGTTTTTAGTAAGCCTATGCGAGTTCAACCTAAACAAAAGAAATGCAACCTCTTTCCCAACACAACAAAAGATCCACATAAGAATATTTTACTGCTAAGACCTAACTAGCCATAGCTTTTCACGGACATTTTCATGTTGGCAGCATCTGGTTAGTTTCCACAGCTACTTTCTAAAAGCTGCCAGTCTCTCTCTTCTCTCCATACTTCAGAGCTGTTCTTTTTCCAAAGTTTTTCTCTCAGCTTTCCAAGCATACCTGATTTAATAACCTCATTGTAATCATACAGTATACAACATTCAGGCAGATAGAGCATTTTGAATCAATGCAATACCCCAGGCATCCATCTGCCTTTCATCAGATCCCAGCTGATCTTCCCTCAAAGGAGGATAAGGATTGTTTCAAAACATTTCTGAGGGATGCTTCATGCTTTCAGCTTCTCACTAGCACCATTTGGCATATCCCTGGCATAGCACAAATCTGAACACAGGGGAGTCCAATCAGTGGAAAGTTTCTGGGATCAGCCTCCACTGTTTATATTTTGTACTGCACCACAGACAGTGAATTGGTTTTGCTATGACAGTCAGAAAGTACCATCTCAACCACTGTTACTAACAGATACCACATTTGCCAGAATCAGCTGTAGTGGAGAGAATTAAATGATGGTTAGGTTCAGGGACCAAAAGCATCTCCTGCCAGACCCCAAAGAAGAAAAAAAAAAAAAACTTTGATTTTTTTATCCCACAACTCCTTTGCCAATAGTTTCATAACAAGTATTCACCTAAAAGAAACATCTACCAAACTGAAAAAGAAGAAAAAAAATCTACTCCATATTATATCAAATATATATCACGTATATATATCAAAAATATATCAAGTATTTTTTTCCCTGTTGCAACGTTATGTTATAGGCACACTTCTCAAATGCCAATTTGAAACAGAAGCCAAAGCTTTGTTTTATTTATTTCAGACAATTTGCTGATCAACACAGCACTGTGAGCATTACCGATCTATGCTAAACCATACTTTTCAAAAGAATACACTATTTAAATGAAGAATTTTATCTGATGTCCTGGAACGCATTTCCCTCTTCAAAATATGCTCCCCAACAAACATGTGGTGACAAGAAAAGGAGGAAGGAAAACCATGCTTCTAGAAGCCAACCACATATTGGCCAGTTTTCTTCCAAGAAGGAGGTAGAGATGTGACCAAAATATTTAAAATTCCCCTTCACACACACATATTAATCTAACCTTGGCAGCTTTTAAAAATTGCATCTTTCTGAGAGACAGAAGCACTGCTGAGGGCATGCCGTGAAACTGAAAAGCTGCAGACATCATCTTCATTTTGTGCAAAGTGAAATAGTTCAGCTGAGTTCAGTGAGTCACTTAACATATAGATGACTGGAGAGAGAAGTGCTGGCCTGGCAGCAATGCGTTTCAGCTGTAGCCATTACGCATTCCCTAAACATCAGGGTCCTACATTACAGATTATTTAAAATACAGTGTATCTAAAGGCAACCGAAATTTGCAATTTTAAAGATAGGTTTTTAGGAGCAGAAGTAACTGAATGCATCCAAAAGCATCAAAGAGGGTACATTTGCATGAGCTGCATGATGACATGCTTTTCTGGAGTCAGTGGAGTCAGGCAGAAAGTTATCACAGTTTATTTCTGACACATGCATTCAGGAGTTAGCCTTGCCACAACAACACGGTGCTCACCAGTCAGCATGGTTATAAGCGGAAGGCTGTGCTCTTCAGGGCTTCCCCAGTATCCAGCTTCCCCCAGCATGTTTCTTTCCAGTACCTGGTGATACAGTTCTTCAACCCAGGTCTGCGAAAACACCATCAACACTCCGCTGGACTGAACCTGCTTCATGAACTCCTTCTGCAGAGAAGCATACAAGCTAAATATTAGAAGATGGTAAGTCCTACAGCATGAGCCTCAACCAGCATATCCACTCCTGAACCTAAAGGAGCACAACAGTGCAAATGAAGCTATGCAAGAACAAGATTTAGCTGAGGACCACAATGCCTCTATAATGTGGAGAAGGACATGAACAAAGGAGCTTTCCCTTCTCTTTTCACAGCTCATGCAAGATGCTGATTTTAATGGCAGTTTTTGTAGAGTGACAATGGGACTCGCTGAGCTCTGTTTCTAGAAGCTGGAAGTAGGATCTCAGCTCCAGTTAAAAAAAAAATGTGGTAGCAACTGTTTCTTGTTTGGCAATGAAACCCTGCGCACAGAATGCTCACCGTGGTTGAACTGGGGTCCAGTGAAATATCTGAACTATTTTCAAGAACAGCTAGTTTACGCTTAGATCTGTTGTCCACAGTGCCATCCCTATAGAAGATTTTGAGTTATAGATTTGCTCTTATAACTAGTAAAGAGCATGCTGGAACTAAAGATTATGTTTAAAAAAATGGTTTTCGTTCTGCTAGGAAATGAATTCTTTTATATGAGAAATCCAGCATTGATGATACATTTTAACAGACATTTTTGTTACGTTTTTGATATTTTTGTTCCATGGTGTATCATCCTTTTATTTCTAAGAAAATCAAAATTATTCATCTTGAACAGCCTGTTTGAGGGCACAGCTTCAATTTTTGTAACTCCTTCTGATTAAAAATAATAATAATAAAAGCCCAAGAAATAGAGATCCTAGGTGCTATAAAATTTATCAATTCATATGACTAAATCCTACTTATTTTTCATTCATATTCTGCTCAAACTTCTCATGTTTTCATCTGCATAAAGACAAACCAATTAATTTGTCACTGTGCTTCCAAGCGGTTGCAAGATGAAAGTATATTGCTCTGGTAACATGTGCCCTTCTAGCATCAACTGATGCTAAGGAAAATTTGTTCTGAAGATGCAATACCCATGCTGAATCACTGCTACCTTTCTGATAATCAGTAAACAGCATTCATTCCTCCCTGAGCTACAGGGGAGCTACGTAATTCAGATGAATGACATTTATTATGCAAGATTCATAAGCGGCCTGGAGAATATTTCATTTGCAATTATTATTTCTCCACTCAGAAAGAAGCATAAAGGACATTTATCTATGGGCTCTTTTATGTGAAAGGAAGCAACACATTTTTAAGTTTTCCTGTATTTTCTGACTCACCAGCAACACAGGGGCTTGGGTAGGTTTCTTCCTGTAGTAATCCGAGTTGGACAATTTTAGGTTGAGCAGCAGAGTGTAATGTGACACCATGTAGAGACTGTCTGCATTCATCAGAGTCTGGAAGCTGAAATTTGGGTTTCCCTCAAATCCCGGAGAGTGCATCATACCTAACAAAAACACAGTGTGAGCTTTCACATTTTATATACATATTGCCTGAAAAAAACAACCAAACAAAAAAAATCAGAAACTAACCCTAGCATTTCAGCAGCAACAGATTGCTAATTTCAAGTGACTCTATTAAGTGTATTGGAATAGGGAGCAGAAAAATAGTCCACCTAGAATGCAAGGCAGGATGAACACTCCATCCACAGTCCAGCAAAGCAACATGATTAATTTTAAATACACATGGAGTTGCAGGATTCAGCGGGATGACTGCCAGGCTTAAAGCAAAGGGCAGGATGCATCTGCGGTGCTAACTGGGAAGCTGAGAATAGACAGTAGCAAAGACTGTGCACTTGTGTGAAGCAGAGCACGCAGCGCACCACATGGTGCTAAAGAGGGACACAGGCCTTTTAACCTCCCAGTAAAAGTGCTGCAGTTGAGTGAATTGCTGGATGGGGACCGGAGTGCTCAGCACCTTGCAGGATCGGGATCTGGCCACCATTAGGTGATGGCCCGGAGCCATGTGGACCAATATTTGGGGCGAACTGGCTGGAACTTTTTACAAGATCAAGCCCTGTTTAGTTCAAGCAAGACCTGCTTTGCAGCTATGCTGAGCACTCGCAGCTCTGGCACACCCGTGTTACCATGGGCAAGTGCTCAGGACTCCTAAAAACACTGCTCGTAGGAGGCGACCCGTTACGGCCATGCCCAGGGACTTGATCCCTTCTTCCCAGGCAGACTGAACTGCATATACAGCTCCCCTCGAGTTAGCTGACCTACTGGTGGAAACAGATAAATCAAGTAGGAGCAATGTTGAATCCCTGCAAATTTGAGCCATAAAACAAAGAAAAACCCAGAAATGTCTGAAAACTCCATGACCTACAGTATTTCAAGGGTTGCCACATCAATTGTGAAATAAATTTATAGGACATCAATTAAGAAAGATTAAGGAGTAGGATTTATCCTAGAGAAATATTTGAAAAAAAACAGCTTTTTTTTTTTTACATGATAAAGTAAAGCTGTGTCAATTGCCAACTGCTAAAGTGGTTTCTTGTGAATATATTCCTCCCACCATAACGCTCACGCCTGTTCTTATACAAAATACAGCAAACCATTAACATTTAAAAAATAAAAAGCCACGCACATTAAAAAAAAAACACAAATGTTTTTCTTGCCTCGTGAGGGTTTGCAAGCTCTGTGCTGCTGCCTTCTCGGACTGTCCACTGACGTCACTTTGGGGGCGTGGATAAGGTGAATAACTGTTTGAGGGCGGATTTAGAGAGAGAGTAACTGTTCCAGGGCGGGCTACGAGACGCGGAACCGTTCAAGGGGGTTGCCCGCGTGGAGAGGGCTGCCCACACTCTGTATCCACACGGATTTCCATCTGTCTGTGGCAGATCTTTCTCTTTTTTGTGGTGGCGAATGTTAGCAGAAGTTCTCTGCCTCGCTTTCAAACCTTAACTGTGTGTTTAAATGTAAGCCTGCGAGCAGGTCAAGTGGCTCCATCACTGAAGATGTCACAACATTTTGCTGGATGGAGCCCATGCGATCAAGAATATCTGGTATCTATAGCATTCTGATTTGAGGCCTGATATCTCTTAAGTACGTACGTCAGGAACTAGAATGGGCCTGAGGGATAATAAAACAGGCCAGAATGGTATTTAAGATATGTGGACCAATTGCTTAAAAAAAAAGTACTTAATTTTGCATTTAAAATTTTTTCCTTAAAAAATGCAACATCCTGTACAACACTACTACAATTAAAAAGGGAGTTTTATAATAGCATGTAAAAGTGGTTTCATACGAATAAGCAAACTGAGCATATACTTGAACACCCAGAGGCTTTTGGAAAAATCTAGTCCCTAATTTCCTCTAAAATATGGGGAAAAATAATTCCTCCAAGTACATTTGACAGACGCTCAGTGCTCAAAAAGCAGAAGAGTAGCTGACGTGTAAACTTACATTAATGCTTAACAACATAAAAGCCTTGCCACCAAAGGCTATGGAGAAAAAAATTGAGAGAGGCACCAAAAATGTTTGCTATGATTATTCACAGAATGGTGGCAACTCTTAGATTAACTCCTTGGTACTGTAATTCACAAGAACAGCTGTGCCTGGACCAAGTGAATACTGGTTACTAACTTTAATTATAAAAATCTGCCAACTGTGACGAAAAATAAGGTTAGCACACTGTTTTAATTGAGATAACATTTAAATCGGCAAGGTTGAGGGAAGTCTATGTAAATTGAAAACAGCGTTTGGTACTAATCAAGATAAATTTGAGAATTTTTAGAAAAATCAACAATTAGTAGATGAAACATCACAGTGTCACTAAGCTTTTTTTTTCTTCTTTTTGAAATCTAGCAACAAGTAAGGAAAAATCTCGTGAGGGAAAAAAAAATTAGGATTTTTTTTAAAGAAACTAACTGCAAAATCTTTTTTCCCCTGTTTTTCTAGTTTGCTGACTTTGCTTTGCCTTTTTTTTTCTCTCCAAATTTCATCTGAGAACCGTGCTGATATTCTTGTGCCAGGGCCTCGAATTCCTGTCTCCTTTCACTGTTTTTCAATCCTATGAATATATAATAGTGTTACAACACTGTAGAAGGACCTAGGTTGTAGGAAAGACTGTGAAATTGTATGCTAATGCATTCCCCCCCCAAAATGCAAGGAAAAATGTCAAAACGAAGCAGTTATATAAAGAATCTCAGCAGAAAAATACTGTTTTTGTGTGGGCTCATCTCTTGTTTCTTTTTCAAGTTGGCCCTTAACTGATATTCATATTTCCAAATACATTTTTTCAGGAATGATGCATGAACAGATGTTACAGACACTAGGGGTAGGCCCAGTTCCTTTAACACAGTTGCCTAATTTGTGTCCAGAGTTTTTGATGCACAGCTGAAGTAATGCTCCCTACACAACAAACCGGCATCTCAGAAGGTCTCCCGGGGAAGTTCCTTCTCTCAGATCCATGTATTTGTACTTCATCAGCTGTCTCGGACACAACCCTCTCTCACCTATCTCACCTATGCAGGAACACAAGTTCTTACCTCAGGAGGACTCATGGCCTTTTGCTTAAGATCTGAGGTACAAATTAAGGGACTGTTTTAGCTGAACTGGTTCCCATCGCAGGTGCTTGGTTGAAACACAAATTGCCCAGGTCTTGTGAGGGTAGAAAATCACATCTCTGTAAGAGCCATATCTCTATGAAAATATCAGGACACATCTTCCTGATAATTACAGTAAATTGCTGTCATATTTTTGCATTATTTCTTACTGATTGATATAATCTAAAAATATTTAATCTAATCAGACTGGAAACATAACGTATGACCAAGTACAGAGTTAACCATAGAAGAAATGGCTTTCTTAAGAATGTGAAGGTTTCTCCTCAACTCGGCAGTTCAAGTCCAAGTCTGTGCACCTTTTTGAGAGCTCTGAAATCAGAAATTATGGGCCTGTGGAGAAATCAAGTGATACCCTTCCATCTTGCTCACTGTATTAGTCATATTTAATTATCAGAGCAGCCCCTTTTAGCCTGCAGATCTAGATGTTCAACACTTTAAAACACGCTAAGGAGATGTGACAGGCAAAAGGCTAAGAAAAAAAGGAGCAGCATGTTTGTATATGAGGGAACAGGCATACAAAAATTACAGCTAGGATTCTAGTCTTTTCCTACAACCTCAAGATCATTCTTTCTTTTTCAGGAAAAAAGAAATCCTCTGTGAGAGGTAGGATGCTTTTGAGCACCTAATTTAGGAATGAAATTAACATTAATATCCCTTTTAAGATATCTACTTTTTGTGATATAAAAAGGCCACTATGTTTCTTAAGAACTCCTTCTAACATCTTCCCGAATTAGGGTTTCTTTGGACAGTATTTAAACTACAAATATCAGAAGAATCAGCTAATTTGTGTGATGTTAGTAAGACATTCATCCAGCTTCTTATCTAAATTATGCTATATGATGGCAGGAGGCATCCCTTCGGACTCTGTGTGAGCTTAATGTGTGTGATGAGAGAGCACAAATGAATGAAGCAATGAAAAGGAGTGATGGGAAAGGCAATTGTGGGGAATTAAGTTAAGAAACAGAGAAATATATTTCAATGAGCATTTTCACCTTTGACATTGTCAGGAAAACAAAGCCCTTCTATAAATATAAATACATATATACTTGCACACATTTCAGATATATGCTCTCAGCAGGACAAACAATCCTTGAATTGGCTCTTTTTTTTTTTCCTCCTGTTGTTCAGTTGACCAAGTCAAGATCACAGAGTTTCTGACCCTGAGAGAACTGCAAGTATTCAATCTCTTAAAAATGCAGATCTGTTAACTACTTTTCACTTAGTCTCAGTTTTGAACTTGTGATTTCCTGTCATGACAGTTGGCAGTATAGAAATGGATGAAAAGGAGGGGGAGTCCCTTGTCTTTTCCCATCTTTTCAAGAATTTATGGATACTGTTTTTTTTTTTTTTTTTTTGTTACCTTTGCAAGGCTTGGCATCGCTAATAGTAAAGTACAAAGCTACCTGAATATTTTTTAAAACAGTAATGCCAACCTCTCCCCAGTCTTCATTCTAGGAGGTAACCCCAACCTCTCCTTAATGACAGGACATGTAAGACATCTCAAAACATCTTCACAAATCTGCGAAGAGTTACCTCACTATAGAAAATTTGTCCTCTTTCTCCATTAGATATGTCTCCAAGGACATAATCCAGAGTCTATCAGAGTTAGTGGACTGACATGACCTTGCATCAGGACCTGCATGATTTGTTTTTTTTACTTCAACTAAAACAAAATGGGCTCTTTAGAGCACACACCTCCTTATCCTGAGAGTGTGAGAATTGGCTCCTACAAGAGAGGCTGTGTACAGTGCTGTTACAGTGTGCATTTTGGTTAGACAGTAAATATCTGCATGCAAACCTGAGCAGAAGGTTGAAGAGAAGCTCTGCAGTGCTTCATCCACCTCCTCTATGCTGGGGAGAGCTATAAGCCGAGGAAGAAGAGCTTCAAGTGACTGAACAAACAGCCGTGCGCTGTGCTGATCCGCTTCCTGGTTCTTCAGCAGTTTCAGTGAACGAGCACTTGCTCCTCGTCTGCCAAGGAGCAATTGTCAGAGCCTATATCTGAGACATCTGACCTGCCAGAGTCTTTCTCTGCTGCCATGGAATATTGGTCACATGAATCAAACTCAGTCCTAGAGAGGTCCTGGTCATCTACACTGAAATTGCTTTCACTGTATCTGGATCCAAAGGATCGGGTCTTGCAGTCAACTGATAAAAAGTTTGTTATGTCCGGAAAGACTACAGTGTGGCTTCTCTGGACAACGTCCGGCTGGTCAATGGTTTCTGACTCTGCTTCCCTGTAATGAATCTCTTTGCTTTCATGTACAGCTGGAGATGGCAACGAGTTTTTTTGACTTTCCAGATTGTCCTCTGGAGTTGTCTGTCCCATATCCCCCTCTAAAGTGGTCTGACCGGTGTCTGTGGTAACACTAATGCTGATATCGGGACTCTTCTCATTTCCTGATTCCCAGGCAGGATGTTCTGAGGACAGAATGCGTCTCTGCCACCTGAAGTCAGCATCGTTGATCTCCACAGAGTCCCTGCTTGTCTCAGTTCCATCCTTCAATTCTTCCAGGCGCTGGAGTAGCAGCTGAATCTGCTCCTCACTAAGACCCCTCCCTTGGCTTAGCTCATCTAACGCTCCAAGCAAGGCAAAGACACAGGACACTGAAGCATAACATGCTTCAATCCCACCTTTGATACAAGCTTCTGTCATCCCATCCATGATGCTGCAATTAAAACAGTTTATTCTAAGTTATGAAGTCTCTTCCAACAGCGAGCCCATGCAACTATCATGGGCCAACAACACCCCTCCACAACCAAGAAAAAAAAACACAGAAGAGAAATTATCCAGTAAGAGAACTCTTGAGAAAAACAACTAGAATAAGAACAAAGGATTACACTTCCCTTGTGGATATAATCTGTAAGGGGAGTGTCAGCCAGGAAAACACAGCATATACCACATCCCCCTCTACAGACAAGCACTTGTGCTGCAAAAAACAGCAATTCTGAAGCCAAAGTTAAAGCCACCTGTGTCCCAAAAACTACTTTACTTATTATATCCAAAATTTTTAAGAACTAAAAATACTATTTACCCACTCTGTCAATGTTTAAGTTCAGGAGTAGCTCCTTTGACTTAATCCTGGAAATATATCTCCAAGTAAGTTACCTGGTTGCAAGGCTACCTGGTCTTGAAAGCAAGAATTTGCAGCTGCAACACATATTTAACCAGGTAGATACCCTGTTTCTTAATTTGCTTATGGTTCTGAAGGTACAGCTGTTTAAGCATCAGATTAACACTGGTTAAAGTGAGAAAAGGTTAAAGCAAGGCGTACAGTTTGAGAAGATCCAGATGGGATTTCCTTTTAGAGATTGACCTCTTCCTGGATTCTGGCTCAGAAGAGCAGGGCCCTGCCAAATCACAAAGCCTCCGAGGACTTCCAAGTATCTGAGAGAAAAGGAAACAGAAGTTACTGGAGAGTGATCTAAGCATTGTTCAAACACATTAAATGAGTCATAGGTTTATCAAGTCCTGAAACCTGAGGTACTAGCGTGGTAAATCCTTACAGGAAGGGAAACCAGTGCACTAATGATCTTTGCAATACATTAGAGCTACCTTACCTCTTTTAATATCAGAAAGGCAGACTGAAAAAAAAATCCTGTACACACAACATAAATTATATGCAGAACGTTCTTCACTCTCTCCAACATTTTTGACTGAAATGTGTGTCAGCTGATCCTACATGCAAAACAGTTTAGTACCTGAATATAAGGAAAGTATCTTGCATTGCACTATATACCAAAAGAGGCTGTCAAGTTACTTAGCTAAAATTGGACATACAGATGCAAAGCGATTCCTTCCAACTCGGCCTCCTAGATGACAAGTCCCCTTAATGCCCATCAGGAGAAAGAAGAGGGTTAAGGAGCCAAAGGAGGCAACAGATATATCCTGCAGGTAACAATCTTAGCCTGAGCTTTGCTTAACACTTACACTGTTACAAAGGTTATCATCTTGCTACATGGCTCTATGTTCAGCAGCAACCCTGTGGGGGCTGTGTGCTCTTAAGAGAAACCTCCAGACACACAACAACCTGTGCATGCGCATGATAAAGTCCCCCGCAGGAGACGCCTGTTCCTACACGCAGCGTAAGCTGCCTTGTGTTATCCAGCATGACAAGGAAGCTGCACACGTGATTTGGAAGTCCCCACAACGCCAGCTTCTGCTCAGGGAAGTCCCACAGCTCTAGCACTGTCACTGCGACTGGGCGAGAGGCCAGAACGGACTGGGCTTGGCTGCTCAGGACACTGGCACCTTGTGGCTATTCTAATAAGCCTAAAGGAAACTGTATTTCAAAAATCTGGCAGACAATCAAAGTATATACTGAAGTTAATGTCCAGAATATTACACTGTGAAGATGAGTAACTCCTTCTAGCAAGAGCAGGGAGTAGGGAAATATGCCAAAGAAGCTGAGAAATGAATCACTATATATTATATGTCACCCAAAAAATCAGTCATGACTCAGTGTTAAGATCTGCTCCATGCAGTACCACTAACGAACAGTAAGAGAGTTGCCATAGCAGACAGCAAGACAGAGGAAAATAGAGTCGTTATGACATTGTAAAACTATTTGCCAGAGGGGCTTCGACCCAATGGCTGTGTTCAGAAAAGGGGAACTTTTCTGAAACATCCCTAGCGCTGAAGCACAGAAATTGCTATGTGCATCTCAGCAACATTTACTGTTAAGTGAACATTTTGCTTTACTTGCCTGGACTTGCACCTGCAATTATCCTACCTCTTTCATTATCTTGATGGCTTCTACTCGGTGCTGAGGTGGCGGATAAAGCAGTATCCGGTGATAGAGAGATTGCAGCACAGGCTTCATGGACTCCACTGACCCCACCAACCGAACCAGTTCTGCTGCGATGTAATATATGGTCCGCGCAACGGGCCCGCTAAGGGCAGGTGCTGTGGATGAACACCCGGAACCCCGGCCATGATCAGAGACCCCCGAAGAAGGGGAATCAGCCTCAAGAGAAATGCTGCTGTGGGCGGAAGTAATAGTTTTGTCGTGGATTGGATTTCCCAGGATTACTACTAGGGCTGGACACAGTTGCTTCCTGAGGAAAAAAAGGAAAAGGAGCAGATGGTAACTGGAAAAAAACATCTCACAAGAACAGTCTGAAAATAGCCTGCAGTTATCTCCCAAGCATCAGCATACTAGTATGTATGGGAATACTTAGGGATGCTTTTTAAACATGGCAGCATGGATGCTTGCATATCTGTGCCCTCTACTCTGCAGGGCTGCATGTCTGCTTCTTTCATCGGCTGCAACCTATCACAAAAGAGAAACTCCATGTCACTATTGCTAGATGTTTCTTCTTCTGCTAGCTTGAGAGTTTCTTTTTAAAAAAGGGCCAAATAAAAGACAATCTATACTGACTAGAAGGCCTAATGCTCCATCATGCAACTGCATACGGTTTTAGTAAGCACTCTTGGTCAGGAGTCCCAATTTTGCTGGCTTTCAAGAACATAATTAAAGCCCTTGACAGTAACTCATGGTCTGCAGTAACTCTTCATATGTCGCTGTGCACTAAACATATTCAAGCTAAATGATTCCACTCCAGCAGGTCAACCCTCCTCCTCACCAGTATGCTGGAAACAGAGCCAAAACCAACTCAGCACTTTGCTCCGTTCACTGTTATTTTATCTTTGCCGTCCTCACCTGTCATCTTATGTTAGCCCATAAAATTCTAATTTAAAAAGCCAAGTGCTGCATGGTAGTGCAATCCCAACTTGGATCTTCACCCACATATCTCAGACTTTCAGCTGACACCTAGTGCACGCACCCAAAGACAGGTAATGCCTCAGCAGAAAAAGCAACACATCCTTATAGGCACCTCTTATTTTCTCAAGATTTTCATGTCAATCCAGAATTTTCACTGCTTCTCTTAAAGTGCTCGCCAAAACAGCTAGGCATCCTGAAGTCACTGTAAGCGAGATAGTTTCTAATCTGACATCACATAATGATTTAGTCTGCTTTTTCCCAGTCAGGCACATTTGGAAACATGTGAATTCACTCCTTAAGACAGGCACCTGGTTACACTGAAAAACCCGGTGTTTATCAGAACAGACATAAACACAGGTTGCAGGAACACATTCCCCACACATTTTAGTCCAAAAGCAAAGTGCATCTGACTCAACTATAGAGAGCACATAGTCACAAAACCACAGAGATAACGGACTGCAAGGAGCTGTATGATGAATCTGCTTTTGCGTTATGAGCCAGCTATCCAAAAAAGCTACAAAAAAAAAAGCTTCAAAAGAAAAACATTATTGCAAGCAGAATGAGGGATAAGGATTATTTCAGTTGTCTGAGGTGATGGCAACTGAAGTCAAGAGGTAGAAGCAAATACTAGGGTAAAGTTCTTCTGGTGAAGACTTAAAAAAAAAGAGTATTTCTTGACAGTGTGCAAGCATGTAGCATGAGCCCTTATACAAATCAGGTGACATGCATTTCTGGTCTCCAGCACATCATTTTACAATAACCCAGCTTATCATCCTGTATTACTGCATTCAACCAGTAAGAATCTCAAGAACACTCCCCTAAAGTAGGCAGAATATTGGTGTGTTTAACACTACCTGCAATTTGGAGCTATTGCAGAAAGTATAAGAGACTATCTGTAAGACCCTGTTCTGACTGAACACATTAAACTACACGACAGTGATAACTTACTGTAGCATTTAACATGCCAGCTGAACACCAGGTCTAAACCAATCTTACATGAAGCATAGAATGAATTGTTAGCAGGTAGATTGCGAGTTCCCCTCGTGTTGGTGATTTATTACAGCTTTGTTTGTATTGGAAACAGAGGAAGCCCTGACTCCTCCTGTCACTTGGGAGGTACTCACCATATGAGATCAGTGAATCCTTTGTGCTGGTGCATGGCGGGAGAAGAGCTATTTAACATGGAGAGGATGCACTCCAAGTAAAGAAGCTGAAGTTGTCGATTGTCACTGTCAAAGAGAAAAAAGTGCTTTTCACGTCACGTTAAAAAATAATCTTTGCGTCAAAGAATTACATTAGCCCTCTTGAAAATTACACAATAATTTATAATGTTGACTTATTTTGCATTTGCCTATGAATTTTCAATGGTATGATCACATGTATCATCAGGGTCACCTACAGCACGTGGCACAGGACTGCATCCAAGCGGGTTTTGAAGATCTCCAGAGAAAGAGACTCCACAACCTCTCTTGCAACCTGTTCCAGAGCGCTGTCACCCTCACTGTCAAGAAATTCTTCCTTAAGTTCATGTGGAACTTTTGATCTGATGTTCCAGGCCCCTGATCATCCTTGTAGCCCTGCGCTGGACTCTCTCCAGCAGCTCCACATTCCTCTTGTACTGTGGAGCCCAGAACTGGACACAGTACTCCAGATGCGGCCTCACCAGGGCTGAGTAGAGGGGCAGGATCACCTCCCTTGACCTGCTGTTGATGCTCTTCTTAACACACCCCAGGATCCCTTTGGCCTTCTTGGCCACGAGGGCACACTGCTGCCTCATGGTCAACTTGTCATCCACCATGACACCCAGGTCCCTCTCTGCAGAGCTGCTCTCCAGAAGGTCGGTCCCCAGCCTGTACTGGTGTCTGGGGTTATTCCTCCCCAGGTGCAGGACCTTGCACTTGGCCTTGTTGAATTTCACAAGGCTTTTCACCGCCCAGTTGTCCAGTCTGCCCAGGTCCCTCTGGATGGCAGCGCAGCCCTCTGGGGTATCAGGTACTCCTTCCAGTTTGGTGTCATCAGCAAACTTGCTGAGGGAGCACTCTGTGCCTTCATCCAGGTCATTGATGAATAAATTGAACAGGACTGGACCAAGGACTGACCCCTGGGGGACCCCGCTAGCTACAGGCCTCCAACTAGACTCTGCACCGCTGATCACCACCCTCTGAGCTCTGCCATCCAGCCAGTTCCTAATCCATCTCACTGTCCACTCATCTATCCCACACTTCCAGAGCTTGCCCAGGATGGTGTTGTGAGGGATGGTGTCAAAAGCCTTGGTGAAGTCAAGATTCAGGAGACTTGTTTACATACAATGTACTGATCTTCAGAATTCGCCACAGGATTCGGGTGACAAGCCAGTGTGACATCTACCTTATGAAGGTAGCTCCCCATCCCAATAGCACTCACATTCTGTAATTCACTTCTAAAAGCTAGGATTTTTCCATTCTGTTTTGGTCCTATATGAAGGCTGAAAGATATTTGCTAATATATGATGGTAAGTAATGAAAACTGAACAGAACAGATTTATCTTAGCTGAAACTAAGGAATTATAAACCTCGACTCCCTGCCTTTTCGTCTCCTAGTGGAATTTTTTTCCGAGTAGAACAGCATCCATTTCACACAGAAAACTGCGAATACTGAGGCTCTGAAGTCAGGTTGCTAATTCTGAGACATATAGAGCTTAAAAGTGCTGACCTACATCTTTTTTAAAGTAGCTTTTCCTCAAAACTGTCCATACCTATCCAAAATGAGAGGTACACATTCCAGGTACAATTGCCTTATTTTCTGAGAGCTTGAGTTCTTTAGTTCTTAATGTATATTATCAACTGGTTGCTGCTGATCCCTGCATAAGGATGCGCAGGGCATCCTGCACTCATAGATTGTTTTGATCCCACTTACCACTGCACAATTTTCCTGCAGATGAGAAATTCATGTTTCATGGACTAGTAAGATGCACTCCTCCATACCTTCATGTGGCTGTCCTGCTCAAACCACTACCATTGCAAATTCTACAATCACCAAGAATCCTGCAGCCCTGAGACAAAATGCATCTCCCTGCACTCGTCCTCATCACTCACAGCTGTGCCTCCCGCAAAACAAAATTCCAAAAAGCCTGAAATTCAGAAGAGGGAGTTAAAGTAACCTTCACACTAACAGATCAGAACAGGCAGTATAACATATCAAAACCTCACTTCGCTGACCCAGAGCGGTTAATGGAATAAATGTTCTTCCTTCCTTCCTTTGGAAACTCATGGAGTTAAATTCTTCAGTAAGCCATGTTAATTAAATTGATTTTCTTCAGATTGAATTAGAATCCTTAATTATGTTTTGGTGTTAATTACAGACCCAAACAATCTAGGTGCATAATTACAAGCATGAAATAAACCACGCTTTTTGAGCATTTTCAAGTCTTATAGACTTCTTATTGTGCTTTACCTACTGCATATTTCAATCTGTTCTAATTCAGTACAGTTTCGTGGGGAACTGGGATTGCAGATGATTCTTAAAGTTGTTGAAGTGTTTTTGAGAGATCCTGTCAGGTAGTTTAGTTTTGGTATTTCATATCCAGTAATTCAAAATGGTCATCAAAATGGTTTTAGGGACAATACTTATCAGATGATGGCTGTTTACAGAGTCATACACAGGCAAAATTTCAGCTTTACACAAAGAACAAAAGTTTCATCTTTTTTCCCCACTTGCCTTTTTTAGTCATATGCTTTTTTCAGATCTTATACTGTTACTCCATAACTTTGTACGCGCTCCCAAAAATATTCCCTTGGAAGACTTAAAACATGGTTTCTTATTCCAAAACGCTATTAATCTTAATGAATTCAGATATTGATTAAGCAATGCTCTAATTAGGGACACTCATGGAAGAAAAATCTACCAGGGAATCACACACCCTGATGCAAGGGAAATATTCGGCTCTGGTAGTTCTTAGGACTAATGTAATGTGTGTTCCGTATTTCTCTCCTTTTCCTGAATCCACGATAGGCTGCTGACAAAGACATCCCCAAGTCTGTCATGGCTCTGTCACACAGGCTACTATCACAGATGTACTGATGGCCCAACCAAAGAGACAATCTTCTGCTATAAACAAAACAGTTTCAGACCATCTCTTTCATTACCATTCACATGATGCTGTTATTGTCAGTTGCAAAAAGTAAGTTTTATCTTAATTTCCTGATACAGAAAAAACATTGTCAAGGAAGAATTTGTTTTTTTTTACCTAAAAACCTTCATTTTTTTCTAGCTTGCTAAGTTTATACTTTTGAAACAATATTTTATGCTCTCTGCCGATTAGGGTTATTTCTGTTTCATTTCTTAATAGACCATTAGTGGAGCTATGCAAAACATCACTACTGTTAAGAGTATTGGCCAAAAAGAGACTGTAGTATTCTGATGCAATTTAGCACCCTATTACCGCATATAATAATGGCAATTTAAAAGTTAGTCTCATACATTTGCAAGTAATTAGAGTATACGATATTTGTAAATTTAAGCAATGCTTTGGTAATTCAAATTATTTCAGTCTGATAAACACCGCCCTTCTAAGAAGGACATATTAATTCATCCTACATATTAAGCATTTCTATTAATTTTTCCCATGACTCTTCCAATTATTCTTCCTTCTACAGTGTTGGCTTTCTTGACACCTAGTACAACTGCTTTTTCAAGTATTTTGCAGCTGTATGGAAGTTTCTTACAGGTTAGGGTCACTGATTTACTGGAGGCTCCTTAAAGTTAAACAGTGCAAAGAAAAAGTAATTTTGTTTTTCATCGTAAGTGGGCATTAAATTGATGCATCATTAACAATTGCTTTCTCTGATAAGCAATTTCTTCGATATGAGGACAGTTTTGCTCTATCATCCCAGAACCGAAACAGTACAATCACATATATCAGTGAAATTCCCAATCTCCAAATGACAAATTCAAATTATAAACTGAAATAACTCACTTTATGACAGCCTGGAGCTTCTCACAGAGCACAGTGAGGACAGATACAACGTCATCACTAAGAGACTCGGCTGAAGTACCTCCAAAAGATAAAAGATCAGTGGCATTACACATGTGTAGCTGAATTACACCCCGAAGTTACCATGTGAACTTTCAGAATTCCTCTTGCCCCAGTGATCCGTGCACAGATCCGTTCCTCTTAATGACAAGGAGGGGCTACAAAAATTCACATATGCAGCAGAAAATTTCTAGACTGGAAAGTCATTTCTGCACAATTAAGAAACAGAAAAAGCTCGGACTGCGTACATGCATTTACAGAAGGTTATCTGAAATGGGATTCAGCTAAGGAGGGGGTGGGAAAGAGAGACCGGCTCCAGCACTTGTGTGGCAGCTGCAGTCTCCGTCGCTGGCCCTGCGGTTCCTCCCTGACACGGGTTCTGATGGCCGTCCAGGCCCTGCTCTTAAAAGAGAAAGTTTGTGTACTTCAAAGATCTTAGGCCCCATCCCCACAAGCGCTCCTGCAGAAATCTGATGAGAAAATCAAAAGCTGGGATTATTGTTAACTATTAGGCAAGGCAGCAGAAGTTAAGGCAGAATGGAAGAAGTAAAAACATCTCTTGCAAAACAATAGTGTGAGCAGCATGAACATAGTGCTGCACTTCAAAAATCTGTTATATAAATTGCATCTCTGATCTAAAGCAAAATGACACAGTCATCTCCAGACTCCACATCCTGTACTATGAATCTGCTTTAATTTTATGAATTAAATCTACTTCATTAAAACTTTGTCCAGGGCACCGAAACTCCCTCCATATAGGTGGAGCACCTTGAAATTATCACCTATTCCTATGCTGGGTGCAATGCTATTAATGTGGTTCAGGGAAGACACAACCAGGAATTAACAAACAACAGGGCTGTCTCAGTTCTTACCAACGATACTATCAAGCTATGGAGAAGGTTAGAAAAGATGAAGATGCAATTCCTGCTACCTCAGCAGCAGTACCTGATGTAAGGAATATGAAGAATAAAAAAATGGATTAGGAGGAGTCGCTAAAAAAATGGTACAGATACCTTGACTCTTGAATTTCTGCAGGGCATCATGGTTTTCAATTGTCTGTTAAAGAAATACAGATGTGGTATAATCAGTGCAAGTAGTAGAAAAATAGTGTAAAAACAAAGCTCAAAGAACAAAGATTTCTTCCTCAATAAATTAATATTCTTCTTTTGTTGTTGTTTTGTTTTTTTTTTAAGTGAGGTTTCTGCATTTTTTTTTTCAAAAATACTAAGATCTGTTCTAAACAGTCATTTAGATTGGAGGCAATTGCTTCTCAGCACACTAGGATCCTCAGGTCGTTAAGGGAATCACATACCTGAGTGAAGTCAATAACAACTTGCATGCAAGAGGCATGCAGGTCTTACTGAAAGTTGGAAGAATTGAAGTCTTAGTGCTTAGAAACTGGAGTCATCCCAGTATGTGCTGTTGATCACATCATCATGAACATTACACAGCCAACACAATTAACGGCAGTGAGGAAATGGAAATGACCTCTTAGACCAGTTAGTTCAGCTGTAAATGAACAGCCTCTTCTGATCAGCGCACAGAGCCACAAAAAACCCAGCTGAATTCCCTTCTTTAGCACCAACGACACACTAAATTAAATGCAGCTCCTATATACTCCCATCTACTTGGCAGATTAAGAACAGTACGAACAAAACTCATTTTTAGACCCAAAGTGAAATGTAAAAACTGCCATTTCCTTATTTCTAGGTGTTTTACCTAGTAAAACAAGCTACTTGACACAAAGAGAGGATGAGCATGCGTAAATGTTGAATTCTGTTTTGTAGTTGTTCATACAAATAAAAAAATACTGCTATATTAAATAACATGAAATTGAAGTGGTCCTCTTAACCCAAAACAGATACAAGGAAAAAAAATCTGCATAACTGCAATCTTGAAAACTCCTAATAAATAACAAGCCTTCTTCAAAACCATACTTTGATAATATGATAATATGCGAAGCAACATATAAAACAAATACAAGAAGCAAAAGTCATCTCACATTTGCTGAAGCATTTACTATTTCATGACAACGTGTTGAGACTTACACCACAAATAACTCTCATGGATTTTAATAATGCAACAAAGGCAATAAACAAAATTTATTTTTGCTAATAACTAAGCAGACAAAGCATTCCATGGACTAAGTTGCTTCATTTGCTTAAATTATCTTCTAAAAACCTCAGACAAATTCAATTACACTTTCAATGTTTTTATGTTTTTGGTTTATGTAAATATTTATCATGCAAAACATTTTGGCAAAAGGCATTCAGTAAGCCTCAGGAACGAGCAAACAAAATAAAGAAAGGCAAAAAAAAAAAAGGTCGAGGCAGTCTGACATCAAACAAAGCCTCTTTTGTTTGGAGAAGGAGAAAAAAATATCAGCCTGGTTGACAATTTGTGAGCTGTGTTTCTGATAGACTGTTCTGAAGCAGGCATTGAGTCAGAGCCCAAAAAAAGCTTTTAAACAGGATTAATTGTGGAAGTCTCAAATAAAAGCCATCGGCACAACAAGCCACTACAATACGCTGCATTTAGAGAAACAACAAGGTACACAGTGGTGTGTGTGGAACCACTTGTTGATGCCAGAAGGCTCACCATATTTTCTTGCTTTTGCCGTAACTGTAAAGTCAAGTCACTCAACATTTGGCTGAGGGTTGCCCGCACAGCGGTGTTAATGCTCCGCTGGTGACAGCTAGATATATACGTCTCAATGCAAACCTGATGAGGAAACAAGATAGGAATATACAGATATAAGCTATAACTTACCAGTAACACATTTTAGGAGGGTACCAAAGTCTCTTTTACACAGACAGTCAGCCTTCCCTACTGCTTATCAGTGTTTTATTAGCACATAAAAATTTTTCAGTGATGTGGATAACTGAGCGAGTAGTATCTAGAAGCAGCACTCAGTTCAGACGGACTTGCTGCTGGCACACTTCTGTCTTTATTGGAGCAGAGTGAGAAAGAGAAGATTCTTTTGAACTCTTTATTTTGGGACAGCACCCAAGGGTCAGAATCTACAGTGTGGCATCTTCCTGTTGTCCTTTTTCAAGATTTTAACCCCTCAATTAAGTATGGAATTTTATTTATCTTGAGACTAATCAATTAGTGTGTATGATTTTAGAAGGTAAAAGAAGACCCTTAGCAAGTGTTCATATCCATCACTTATCACCTGAAATCTAGTGGACAGAGAATCCTGAAGCTCAGGGACCTTCACCTCACGCCTGGCAGTGTCAAACCGCTCCCGTGCTGCAGAATCCGCTGCAAAGGCTGCATGATCTTCTTTGGAGCTCTAAGTTTCTTTCCAGAGTTACTTAATTAATTGACAAAATATTCTTAGAGGCAGGCTGACTTTCTGGATTGTGTATATATGATTTTAAAAGGTAAAAGAAGACCCTTAGCGTTTGTATCTTTCACTTATTACCTAAATCTGGTGGACAGAGAATCCTGAAGCTCAGGGACCTTCACCTCACGTCTGGCAATGTCAAACCGCTCCAGTGCTGCAGAACCTGCTGCAAAGGCTGCCTGATCTTCTTTTGAGCTCTAAGTTTCTTTCTGGAGTTACCTAATTAATTGACAAAATATCATTCTTAGAGGCAGGCTGACTTTCTGGAAAGAGCATGGTTGATACCTCCTTTTTCTCTCCCCTTCCCATGCCCAGTAGTAAGCACCAGTACTGTCCACTTGAGCTCCGATCTCACAGAAGGCCTGTGTTCAGAAACACCAAGGTACCTTTTGAAAAGCCATTGATGAAGAAGCAGCGGTAAAAATACGGGAGCACAGGACCCCGGAGAGGTGTGCAATGGACATTTTGATCATTTCATGCATTCGGGGACTTCCAGCTCTATGGCATGCAAAACACAACTAAGAGCAAAACACAGAAGGGTTAGAAAGTGCAATACAAAGAAGACAAACACAACAGACTGCCAAGAAGTAGATGGGAAAAACAAATATACAAAGAAAAATAAACAACAGTCAGTGCACAAATCACACTTTCTTAGAGGGGTCCAGACAAGGGTAAGAAGTTGCAAACAGCAAGATTTACTCTCTTTCAATACTAGTAATATTCAAGCCACTAAATACAGTACTCTTCATATTGCGTACTTCATTAACATGAGGCCAAAATATTCATAACAAATATACAAAGGAGAATAAGCAACAGTCAGTGCACAAATTACACTTTCTTAGAGGGGTCCAGACAAAGGTAAGAAGTTGCAAACAGCAAGATTTCTCTTTCAGTACTAGTAATATTCAAGACACTAAATATAGTACTCTTCATATTGAGTACTTCATTAACATGAGGCCAAAATATTCAGAAAGATTTGGGGTACCATTAATTTGTATCCAAAACCTTAGAATGTGCAAATCACTCAGACTGTAGCGGTATCTGTCAGGCAGTGTCCTCAGAGAGGCAGTGCTGCCAAAATGCAGGCAGCAGCTTTCTCACTCTGCAGTGCCTTCAGTTTGCTGCCTTGGGCAGGCTAGAGGAAGCACATGGCTTGAGGGCTTCCTTGGAAAGAAACGCCAAGTACTAACCACACAGCAGCTAGTGAGCTCCTCCCTGACAGTCAAGAAAGTGCTGGACTTGGAAATCACTTTCTGTTCCCTCCTGCTTATGTGTGGCAGAATTCAAATGCAAAGGAGAAATAAGTGCAATTGTTAAAAGTTTCTGCCTTATCTAAAAACTGGCCAGAATGTACCTGGGAAGCAGGTATGTGGCCTAGTGGAATTTGCAAAACAGGAGAACCTAGGCATTCAATAAAGCAGAATTAGTTATTCCAATTTCTTGAAGGAAAGAAAAGCTAATTTATTTTATTGATACATCTTCATTATTACTATACCTGCACTGGGGCTCTTGCTCCTTTTAAAAAGATAGGGCAACCTATCATTGCACTAACTGATACTATTCTACTAGGAAAGATTTTCAAGAGCAAGACTGGCCTTCTGGGCATCAAAGTGCTGCAACTAGCAACAGTAGGATTTAACTCCTACTATGAAATAAAACTGCCATTCTTAAGTGAATAGTCTCACACAGCCCAAGAGAAAAAAACGTTCTCAGTGAAGGATATCTGAGGTGAGTACTACTTTTTATCCTACATTCTTTACATACAAGCCTTTCATGTTCCATTTCTGCCTTTTAACAACATTTTTTTTGCAATCGATTAGGACAGTAGTCAACTAGCTTTTTTAGATTTCCTTTTATCCCTCTACCCTGTTTGTGGCTTGCAATGGCACAATGCAAGTTCTACTTTATTTTGAATTTAGAAAATACTGTAACTTCACAGCAAAATTAGCTATATACACATTGTTTTTAAAAGAACACATGTTGAGGGTAGAGGAATGCTGTGCAAAATGTCAACAGAACTTTTATATAGCCTTTCCATTGCTCCACAGACATTAGTTCTTCACTATGATAACAATAACATCTTACATCTGGATAAACAACCCAGTAACACACTGTACTGAAGATTTCACCTTTCTACAAATACTCATTTAGTAGACATGCCTTTAGCAGGTACGTTTTTCTATACCAAAATTTCATTTAAAATCTATTTCAGACTAAAATCTAAGAGTAAAAGAGTCGTTAATGGCACCAGGACAACATCATATATCTAGAGGTGGAATAAATTATTTCTTTGGAAGCATTAGGAAACAGATACATGTTAATAAGGCATATTTTGGCCTATGCACCTCTCTTGACAAAATGTTAGTTTTAGCATTGCACCTGGCAAGGAATCAGCATAGTGCTGTGTTACAAAGAACCCCAAGAGGACATTTGCCAAATGTGAAAGGCAGAGTAAATAAACATGAAGAGCAGCAAGCATGCAACACTACAGCATGCAACTGGCATTCAGTTTCCAAGCGTGCCTTCCAACGCAAGCCATCAGCCCTGCCCAATTTCCAGCTGTTTCATCACTCTAGACATGAGTAGCAAGGCAATATCAGTCCTCGGAGAAACAACTGCGACTTGGACTAGCTCAATGCCAGTATATGCATGGAAGACACACTCTAGCTAGGGGGACACATCAAGTAACTCAAGCAATGTTAGGACGGAAGCACTCACCTCAGCAATCTTCAACACTGAACTCCCGTTCAGCTCAAATGTGGAGGTATATGTTATACAGAGCAAAACCTTGAACCAAAAGAGAGGGAGAAAAGACAAAAAAAAATAAATTCTATCTATTATTGCATCAACTTATTTTCCTATCCATGTACTTTAGCCACAGCTGCTTCTGTTCTTACAGCAGGCATTGGAGACTTTCTAGCATCATATGTTCCTGGGATGGAGGAGACGGCACAGTTAAGGACAGAATTGCTTCTTCCTGAAAAGTTGTAGCTGTTAGCCCCAGAAGAGCAACCCAGTTGATTATTTATTGCTCGCTCTTACATCTGGCCAAGAAAAGAAAGGCCAGAAATCAATTCTAGACACGGATTTGACAGTCGAAATGAGTTCACGTTTTATCCATGGGCTTTGCACAGTTCATAATCAGTCCTTCCATCTCTTTTTATGAGCCTAATAAATGAAGGAAGAAAAAATGCTTACATTCAAATTATTACTCACATGACAGGCACATACATATTGCGTGAAACTAATCATTATTCTCTTCTCAAAATGGACTGAATTTCTTAGCCTAGGATGTTTCTAGTGTTTTACAGTCATTTAATAAAGAGCATTTGGAACAGGCTGCCCAGAGAGGTTGTGGAGTCTCCTTCTCTGGAGATCTTCCAAACCCGCTTGGATGCAGTCCTGTGCCACGTGCTCTAGGTGACCCTGCATGTGCAGGGGGGTTGGACTAGATGACCTCTAGAGGTCCCTTCTAACCTTAAGCATTCTGTGATTCTATGATTCTATTCTATGATTCTATGATCTAAAAGATACTTCATTAAACCCAACCACGAAGGAAGGTTTGACATGTCTTGAACACAGCAGTGGGAGTGAGAACTAAAAGCCCTGCCCAGTGTTTTCCTTTGAAGAGAAGGGGTATGAGGATATGCTGTGATCTAGGCGGAGGAGAGTGAGCAGGGCAGTGTGGCGACTGATGCCGGGGGGCAACAGTGCCTGAGCCTGGAGATTTCTCCCTCCAGCACCATGATCCCCTTTCTAAGTCCTCCAGTCCCATAGAAGACACAGCCTGAACAACTGTCCCCTCCGCTTCTAAGAATAAAATTCTCCCCGTCTTGCAATTTATGCTTTCCCTGAAATAGCCTGAATTTCTCAGGATAAGTGTAGCAGGAAAACATCAGTCACACCACTAATAATGTATAGGTACCTACAGCTTCCTCAGACTCCAAACCTCCCGTTCTCTGCTTCACAAGGAAATCTGAGGCAGCAGCTTACTTAGTACACTCACTGCTAATCTTATTTGACTGATTTTTATTTATTAGAGGCTATTCAGTGGTAGTAGGTTCTAATATTATGGGAAGGTTCCTTGATGGCTACTTATGCATGACAGCCTGGGTAATTTCCTTGGCCTAGAAATGAAAACAAATAAACAAATTTGTCCAATCAGAACATACAAGTAAACAAACGAACAAAAGGCCAAGGGACATATGTTTGGGAAGATATTGGCAACAGGTCTCTAGACTTGTTCTGACTTTTTATTGCGTTCTGTAGTTTGCACATTACAGTGAAATGGTAAAAAATTATAATGCAACAACTTGAAGCAGCAGACTGGATCATCACATCTCACCTGCAAGCTGCATCTTCTTACCTGGTAGTGATCATTTCTAAAACTCTATTAGAGCCTTCATGAGAGGAAAAAGAAAAGTTGATTTGAGAGTTAAGAGAAACAGGCAATTCTCGGGTATTCGCTACTTGCTCTTACAGTACAGATGAAAGACCCTGCCCATAGAAGAACGTGTCACTTTTATGGAAAACATTTATATGCTTCTCCAGTATTTTGACAGTCGGTCAGAAAAGTTTCTACGAATCAAAATGCACTGCATTTTTATAAATATTTTTCTCATGCACCCATAAGGGCACTACAGAAGTGCGTGTCATATTTTATTTCGAGTTTTTATGGTTATTTTATTTAAAAAAAGGAACAAACCAAAGCAAACCAAAAAGCCTTTTTTTTTTTTTGTCTGGACCATGATCCTACTCTTCAGGAATATGAAAATGATTTTGGTTTAAAAGATATTCCCAGACAACCATTATTTTATGACATCTTTAAATTGTCGTCAATGGAATCTTAGCTCTTTGTAAACAGAAGCAGAGTAATTTGGATAAAATGCTAAAGGTAATGAGAACAGAAAAGGGCTACTGCTCTGTACTGTACAGAAGAGTACAGGCTGCTCTTTTAAAGAACAACAGTCCTGGACTATAATCCAATTTTTAGCAACTAGCACTAGAGTAAAGCAAAGTTTCTGAGTTTCATCATACTTTCTCTGTGAAATGAGCAAAACAGATTTTCTCATCTCAAAATGTTACGGAGTCTGTCTCTCTGTTATGAGAAAAGATACAAGTCCTTGAGCAGTAACTCTTGAAACCAGCAGAGAAGGAAATCCTTTTCTCCTTATAATTGATTAAGTGTGTTACAGTTTGTGTTTCTTGATATAAACTCTGCAACTTTTTCTTTGAAATTCTAAATGCTGGGATATGGATGAACGCCAACAAAGAAGAAAAATGACACCTCTTCTCTTGCCCGTAGAAAGAATCCTACAGAACAGCCGGGAAGTAAACAGACAACTATAAAAAGCTCAATAATGTCTTTGGTTCCTAAGTACATAAGAAGGTTTTGTTTTTGTTTTTTTTAACCTACTGCTCAGTCCACACCTGCAAAATTAAAAACTAAAACTTAAAAAATAATTTTTAAAAAATTAAAAATGAAAATTGAGCAGTTTTACTTAGCAATGAGTGAATTTTAAGCTATCGGCCAGCCTTTCATCCAAGTATTGGGCCTGGCTGCTAGAGTTGACTGCTCCTATACTTTGTTGACATTACTAACAGCTGTGAGAGCTCTGCGCCTGGCTAAAAGAAAAATGTATGTAAGGAAATTCTCTGTTTTGTATTCTACTTACGCTGTTGTGTAAAACGCACGCATATCATGCAACTCATGTACCTGGAGACAGATAACTCTGCCACCTCCCACTGATGAATATTGTGCTGTCCTGCTAAAAGACGAGATGGACAGCCAGGCTTATGATTAACCTGATTTGGCAGTTTGCTCATCCTGATTTTCTTCACTGGGCAACACTCGTTTGCTTCATGTGACTTTCTGTTCTCTTATATAATCCCTGCTTTATATAGCTTGTTAACGCTTAAACTTTTCCATAGATCAAAAATTTGAGGCTGCTTACTATGGCACAGGGGAGTAGCACAGCAATATAGGCATTCTTATAAACTCTTGCTTTCAAAGTGACAACTCCCATCTACTTTCTTCCACACTTTGAAAGTGAATAAATAAATCCCATCCCTTTATGCTCTAGTTCCACATAACATACATGGTTGTCTAGTTACGCATAACACACACATCTCTTCTGTCACATGTACCAATAACCTGTTTGTAACAGGTGAATGACAGAGGAGTCTTGTATCATGTACAAGACAAAGGCAATAAGGAAATGACAGTAAAAAAAAAAATCTTACTTTAAATGATAGGGAATTTTGGCAAAAAGACCGCCAAGTTCTGACCCCTACTGTTTGTAGAAGAGGAGAGCAGGGAACCTGCTAGCTACAAAAAGGACATATGCTCTGACCTGATTGCATCCATCTCAGAGAAGGGTAAGTCTCCCTTCACCAATCACTTCTCAGACCAAAAAGATGGTCTTTGAGCAGCGCTCAAGACTGCTCTCAGATGTGATTTTCATCACCGCTGCTGCAGGCTTCATTTACAGTTTTGGTCATGTTCCAGACATTTTAAGTCCTGTGTCTCCACATTAATATAGAACAAGCAAGGAGACAATAGCCTGCTCTCTGTCTCCTTTTTGAGATTACCAGATGAAAGGTGAGATAGAAAACCAACTTAATAGTTTAGAACTACTAGAAAATACACTGAGTCTCTAGACGGTACAATTCGTAGGCTGCTTAAGTACAGAGTAACTCAGGCAGTCTGTGCTGGGGCTACGGGGTGATGCTTTTTTGGTAACCACTTGCAAGAAAAAAATTACCAAGCAATTCTGAGTAGCATCTTTGGTACAAAACACAACTGAAAAACACCCTTTCCCATGTGTTACTGTGATGAGATCTTTGTTGGTATGACAGTAGAGATCACTTCAAAGTCATACAACTTACAAGATGCTTTAATTGGCTTGTGCTATTTTGTAATTGTATGGATGGTTTCTGTAAATGAAAACATTTATTTTTGTTACTGGTGAAACCTGGTTGATCACAGAATAAAAAAAGGACAGTTTTAACTCCTGGAGTCCTAGGATACCACTAGTAGAATAAGAATACATGCAAGCACAGATATTCTTTTTTCTTTTATTCACTGTGAAAACCATGTCTATGTTTTTGATAATATTCTGTAAGTCAATTGCCATCAAATGACGGCACAGTATTTGAACTTCAACTACAATGCCTAGCCCATAATTTAAAAAGACTCTGTTAAAGTAGGAACCTTTCTAGGATATGAGAGTGCTAAGTGTTGTCAGGCAAGTGCTTAATACTTACTTGAAGGAAAAGGTCATTCACACCTTGAAGAGCTTATGGTAGGGTTACATCATACGAACATGGTATTTAAGAAAGTAACTATACCCCCAAACTGAGCAGGGGTGAAAAGATATGGCTTTTGGAAGCAATTGCAATCTATCATCACCTGAGAATGCTTCAGCACTTCAATACATTCAAAGGCCCAAGTCCAACATCCATAGGTTAGTGGCACCCTGCACCTAGGCTGGCACTCAAAGTCCCTTTGGCAAACTCCTCCTAGTGGGGATGCACACAGTCACTTCAGTCCCACGAGTGCTTAGTGACTTATTTAACTGGTGGGCGAGTACACTTGTGTAGGATGCGTGCGCAGATGAGCCCTCCCAGATTCCGCCCCCATTCCCAAGAAAAATAGAAAACACAGCCAGAAGTGACAGCAGAACTAACCTTTTTCTCATTCAATTCAACATTTAAAGCAAACACTCAGTGTTTCTGCAAAATAATTTGATCAGGAGATGTCCTCATGGTTAGCAGAATACCTAGAA